GTGATTCTGTGCCTTTCATCTGTGTGAATCATGAATGCATATCCTGTTGCTCCTTTTGATGGGAGAGGTGACTTTTCTATATGGCAACAGAAAATGAAAGGTGTTTTAGTTCAGCAAAAATGTTTTAAAGCTATTACTCTAAACTATGAAGATACCACACCTGCTGCTAAGAAAGCTGAATTTGATGAACTTGCTTACTCTTTGATGATCTTGAATTTGAGTGATTCTGTGATTAGAAAATTAGGAAAGCAAGATGATGCTAAAGCTTTATGGGAAAAACTGCAAGATCTGTACACTGAAACCTCTTTGCCCTCAAAAATGTTTTTACTTGAAAAGTTTTTCAGATTTAAACTGGATTTGAGTAAAGATATAGATGAGAATCTGGATATTTTTACAAAGCTAGTTCAGGACATTAAATTAACTGGAGATAAAAACATTGATGATTATACTCCTATTGTGCTTTTAAATGCAATTCCTGACACTTATAGTGATGTAAAATCTGCTATTAAGTATGGTAGAGATCAGGTTACTCTTGACACTGTCATAAATGGTTTGAAAAGCAAAGAACTGGATTTAAGAACCAATAAGGGTCACAAATCTTTTGGTGATGTTAACTTTGTGAAAGGAAAGCCTAAATTCAAGTTTCAACACAAGGCCTCTTCCAGTAATAACAACCAAAATCAGTCTTTTCAAAAACCTAAAAAGGGCAAAGAGTGGAGTAAGAACAAGATCAAAGGCAGAAAATGTTATAACTGTGGTAAACCTGGTCATTATGCAAATGAATGTACTGAACCTAAAAAGGATAAGAATAATGAACAGGCTAATGTTGTTGTTGACAATCTAGGTGATGTTTTCATGATTGGTGAGTCTGTGCATGACTGTGTGAACTCTGTGATTTCATCCCTATGTGATAATGATTGGATCTTTGATTCTGCATGCACACACCACATGACACCTAATAGACACCTATTTACATCCTATGTGGAACTAAAAAATGGCAATGTGTCTATGGCTGATAGCAGTGGTGTAAATGTGGTTGGTTTAGGAACTATTATCCTTAAGTTTGAATCTGGTTTTGAACTTATGCTTAAAAATGTGAGACATGTTCCTAATTTGAGTAGTAATTTGCTTTCTGTGGCTGTTCTTGAGGATAGTGGTCTGCATGGTAGTTGGGGAAATGGTTGCCAAAATATTATGAAAGGTGATCAATTTGTATTTAAAGCTGTTAGAATGCAAAATTTGTATGTGTGTTCTGCTGAACCCTTGTTGCATGCTAATTCTGTTAAACATGATCATTCTAGTCTTTGGCATAGGAGGTTAGGTCACATAAGTGTTAAAGGGCTTGAGCTTTTGCATAAAAACAATTATCTTGATAATGACTGTGTGTCTGAACTGCCCATATGTGACTCATGCATTTTAGGAAAACAGACTAAGGTCCAATTTCCTGTGTCTCCTTTCCCTAACTCTTCAAAATGCACTGATATCCTTGAATATATACATGCTGATGTGTGGGGCCCTGCCCCTGTTCCTAGTCATGGTGGTAATAGATACTTTCTCTCTGTGGTTGATGATTTTTCCAGAAAAGTGTTTGTTTTCTTGCTGAAAAATAAATCTGATGTGTTTCAAAGATTTAAAGCATGGAAAGTTTTAATTGAGAATCAAACTGGGAAGAAAATTAAAACCTTGAGAACTGACAATGGAACTGAGTTTTGTAATGCTGAATTTGATGATATGTGTGTTGAATCTGGCATAAAGAGGCATAAAACTGTAGCTTACACCCCTCAGCAAAATGGTGTTGCTGAGAGGATGAATAGGACATTACTTGATAGAGTTAGGTCCATGTTAAATTCATCTGGCTTGTCTAAAATGTTCTGGGGTGAAGCTGTTTTAACTGCTGCATATGTGATCAATAGATCACCTTCTGTGCCTCTATGTGGTGAATTACCTGAAACTAAGTGGTCTGGTATTCCTGTTAGTTTGTCTAATCTTAGAGTATTTGGTTGCTCTGCTTTTGTGCACCAGAAACATGATAAACTCGATCCCAGGTCTGTTAAATGTGTTTTCTTGGGTTATCCAGAGGGGGTTAAGGGTTATAGGTGCTGGCTTAAGGGGGAACAGGGGTTTAAAACTGTTATAAGTAGAAATGTGATATTCAATGAGAATGAGTTTCCTTGTTTGTCTGCTATTTCTTCTGAGTCTACCTCTTCTGAGGTGGAGACTTCCCCTGTTATACCTGCTCAACATGAAACTATATCTGATTCTGATAGTGAAACTGATAATAATGTGCCTGAAAATGATGTGTTTGATCAAAATGTTGATACTAATGTGCCTGATGTGGAAAATCTTGGTGATTACCAACTTGCTAGGGACAGAAGTAGAAGAAACATCATTAGGCCTCATCATTTAGATGATTATCAGCTTGCATCTTATGTGTTTCATGTCTTTGAGTCTCTGGATGATAAAGAACCTAAGTCTTATAGGGAAGCCCTTAAATCTAATGAATCTGTGTCTTGGTTAAATGCTATGAATGAAGAAATTGAATCTTTGCATGTTAACCATACTTGGACTCTTGTGCCAAAACCAGCTGAATGTTCATTAGTTGACTGTAAATGGCTGTTTAAAGTTAAACATGAATCTGATTCACTTAGATATAAGGCTAGGCTAGTGGCTAAGGGGTTTACCCAAAAAGAAGGAATTGATTATACTGAGATATTTGCTCCTGTTGTGAAATTTACTACTGTGAGAATTATGCTTGCCTTAATTGCTCAATTTGATTGGGAATTAAAACAAATGGATGTGAAAACTGCATTTCTCCATGGTGAATTAGATAAGCAAATATACATGAAACAGCCTGAAGGTTTTCTTGATGTGAAACATCCTGATTATGTGTGTTTATTGAAAAAATCTTTGTATGGTCTTAAGCAGTCCCCTAGACAGTGGAATAAAAGATTTGATGCATGCATGAAATCCTTAAATTTTTTGAGAAGTTCATATGATCCATGCTTGTATTTCAAACACTCTGCCAAAATTCCTGTCTTCTTGCTCCTTTATGTGGATGATATGCTTCTGACCAGCCCTTGTATTAAAACAATCAATTATGTCATTAAGTGTCTTAGTGATGAATTTGACATGAAATTGCTTGGAAATGCTAAAAGAATACTTGGCATGGACATAATCAGAGATAGAAAAGGCTGTTCATTGTTTCTTAATCAATCTTCTTACACTGAAAAAATCCTTGAGAAATTTTCTATGCAATCTGCAAAACCTGTATCTGTTCCTCTTGCTGCCCATTTTGTGTTAAGTAGGGAACAGTCTCCCAAGACTGAACCTGAAATGTCTGAGATGAAAAATGTGCCTTATGCAAATGCTATAGGGTCTGTTATGTACTTAATGGTCAGCACAAGACCAGATATTGCTTACTCTGTGAGTTATTTGAGTAGGTATATGTCTAATCCAGGTTTGCCTCATTGGGAGGCTCTCAAGTGGTTGCTTAGATATTTGAAAGGTTCTGTTAAACTTGGTTTGCTGTTTTCTAAGTGTAAAACTGAAAGTGAACTCTGTGGTTATGTGGACTCTAATTTTGCAAATTGTAGAGATAGCAGAAAATCATCTACTTCTTATGTGTTTACTTTGAATGGTTCCTGTGTAAGCTGGAAATCTCAGCTTCAAAGCATTGTGGCTCTGTCTACTACTGAGGCAGAATATGTTGCCACAACTGAGGCTTTCAAAGAAGCTATCTGGCTTAAAGGCCTGCTGATTGAAATTGGTTTTTACAGGAACAAAGTGGTAGTGTTTTCTGACAGTCAGTCTGGTATACAATTGTGCAAAAACCCTGTCTTCCATGATAGAACTAAGCATATTGAGATTAAATTTCACTTTATTAGAAGTATTGTGGAAGAAGGGATTATTGACCTTGAAAAAATTCCCTCAGAGTTCAACCCTGCTGATATGGGTACTAAGTGCTTACCAGTTGAGAAATTTCGTTCTTGTTTGAAAAACTTGAACCTAATTTCCAAAGATTAAAATGCTGTGTGCTATTTTTCTTTATTTGTTACAGTCTTTGTGACTGACTATGTGTTGTCTTTGTGACTGATTGTGTACATGTCTTTTCTGTGTGAACTGTTACATGTTCTGTCTATGTGACATCTCCTTCTGACCTTCTATGTGAAATCAGAAAGATATACTTGTACTACTTTGTGTTTTACTTGTATATCAAAAACAGCAATGATGACTTCCAATAAACCATAAAATTCACTAATGATACACTTTGGTCCAAGGTGGAGATTTGTTGTGGTTGTGGCCCAAATGTGTCTTGGGCCTATAGCCCAATTTCCACATTACACACACACTTGTCTATTTGGAAAGGCCCAACCAGAATAAGTCCAGCCCATTAGTGGGAATGTGCTAGAAGGCTTGAATCTGAACCGTTGGTTCTGGTGTGATCTCAGCCGTTCATTATAGCTGACCTTTCCTCTCCCTTGTACCTCCTTTCCCGTTTTGTGCCCTAGACAATCTCTGTTCTCTCCTTTGGTCCCCCTCTGCTTCTTTCTTCTTTTGCTCCAGCAACCATGGGCCATTCGCCGCCGTCCTTGGCCGTGCTTGTCCCAGTGGTTGTCTCTTCAACGGCTCCTTTTGACTGGAGTCCCTATTTAATGCGGAGAGATGTGTGGCAGAGGGTAAGACCTAGATTGAAACCCTAAATTCAAACACCTTACCTTATTCTTCTGTGAGCTGGGTCTGTGGTGAGTGGGTAAGAAGCTGAGTGCATCTTCTTCGTGGTCTTACTGATAATCTGGGTGGTTTCGGGGGTTTGAGTGCAGAGAGAGGATTGGTTCTGAGTGTGGTGCAATCCTAGACTGTGTGTGTGTGTGTAACAGTGGATACCTTTGTGGATCTGTGTGTGTGAATCGGTTTGGAAGACTGAGCTGTCTTCAATTTCATACTTCTGTTTTTCCCATACATTCATATTTATTTATCTTATAATGTTATTTTACTAACATCTATTTTGAGTTCTTATTTGTAAGCTTTCTTCGAGTAGAAACCCTACACCCACCACCAGCGTCCGCCGCACTCTTGCCGCCGATCCACATTTTGACTGTGCCTTTCAGCCTGTTCACAACTCCAGTCTGATCACTACCTGCAGGCGGCACCACTTCCTTCCTGTCAGTACTGATCACCCTTTCCACCACCGCCTCCTCCGGGATCACCGCCACCCCTATCGGCCGGTCTTCTTCCGTCTTCATAACAACCTCCTCTCTCTTATGAAAGGCATCCGCAATCGCCTCCGACAACGCTTTATCTTCCTCCCCAGGCTTGAATTTCTCAGCCAAGTACTGCTTCATAGAAACACCTTTATCAGCCGCCGCCCCTTGCACCACCGTATCTCCACCTCCCTGGACTTTCGACAGTACTGCACTTCCGGCGCCAGCCACCCTCTCGTACACCGGAGCCAGCGTCTCCGCAACTTTGTGCCCATACTCCGTCGCTAGTTCCGAAACAGGTTTCTTGGACGAATCCACCCCGCCTTCCTTCGCTTCGCCGCCGTAGCCAAGCTTCGAAGCAACCACATTCTTCGCCGACACAGCTTTATCAGCTATCACAGACGTAGCCGAAGATATTTTCTCACCAATCGTGCCACGTGGCAATTCGGGGTTTTCGGTACAAGAACTCTGCTCTGATGCTGCTGCAGGTTTCGACTGATCATGGATGTGGATATTATCCAGGCGTTGAAGAAGCGGCGCCACGTCAGCTTCTTTGCCACCTCGGCCGGTATTAGGATCGGCGACTTTGGACTGATAATTTGAAGAAGGAATACGAATATTCTTCGGAGAATGCGGATCTTCCTCTAAGCCCATCAGCGAACCGATCATAACCGCCGGTTCTGCCACGTTGGTTTCTTTCTTGTCGACTACATCCAGGCTGATAATCTGATGAAGTTCCTTTCCGGGCTCACGGGCCGGGTCGGGAAAAGGCATAGCTGGTGCTCCTGCTTCATCTCTTGCGTAGTGATGAACTTCGTTCTTTACTTTAGGGTTGATGAAATAATCCTCCCGTGTACCACCGGCTGGTTTTTCCAGATTTAAATCGGTTTGGATTGGCAGTTTTGTGCCCGGGATAACAGGGGATTCATACACCACTAGAAACAGAGGAGGGTTAATATGTAATTTAACAAGTAGTAATACACAATAAGCCCCAGAAAAAGGGTAATTTACTGTTTTCACCCCGATATCATATTTAGTCCGCAGGTAAAAAAAACACATTTGGTCCTTCATTTTTCAATAATTTGAAACTCTGTCATTTTCGTCGAACTGTAGTGATGGGATAGGCACGTGTGTTTGATTTCGTTAGTTTTAACAGGAAATTGACTTAAATGACTAAAATTATTAAAAAAAAATTAAAATACGAGGGACCAAATGTATTTTTTTTTTAATACAAAAACCAAATGTGAAATCGATTCAAACTTAAAGCCAAAACGAGAGACTAATTAACCTGGTGTGCCGTGGGGTTGAGGGGCAACCATTAATATTTCTTCTTCTTCATCGTCGTCATCGTCATCTTCTTCCTCGGAAATCTGGTCGTGTCGGTACTCGTGGCCTTCTTCATGCTCGTGACCGTGGCTGTGTTTCTTGATTGTGTCCTTTATTTTCTTTGCTTTCTCTTTCACTTTCTTTAGCACCGATTTCTTCTCTGCTGCTTCATGATGACTTCCTCCCTCCATCACATCTACACAAAACACATAATACATACATATATGTGAGCAAAATAAATTAGAGATAATTAGTATAATTAATATTTATTCAATTTTTAGTAAAACCATTTTACCAGAGTGCAAACCACCTTGATCGCGAGGATCATCTTCGTAAAGATGATGGCCATGTGTAGGAGGGCGCTGCAATTGTGCTTCCATTTTTTTTTTCTTTAATATCTTTTCTTCTGAGTTCAGATAGATTATAGATAGGATTTAACTTTTAGCCGAGATATGGGACGTATATATAATTGGAGTGTATAGCGGATAAGAACAACTGAACAAATGGCAGTTTTTATTTATTAACATGATAAATAGAAAGAAGGGAAGAGATGAATCGGCAAGCTATGCATGGAGATGGCGGTTTTGGGGCTCTATAAGCCTTACACGTGTTTCTGTTGGTAGACGTGTCACCGTGTGACTAGTGGACGTGGCTTCTTCATTGTTTAGTCTTAAAAGAAAAACTTCAATCCGTGTAGGAAACAGATAATATAAAATAATGGGTAATTACAAATAATTCATCCTTGGAGTAATTCATAAATAAAGTGCATGTATGTGTTGAAAGTGGAATGAAGGTGTACATGTGTGTCGGAGTATGTGTATTAAATTAAAGTCGGTGTGAGTTTGTATATATGTGTGTGTCAAAAGTGTGTGCGGAGTGTGTATTTATGTGTTTGTCTAATGTATGTATATATGCATGTCAAAAATATATGCATGTTAAAAGTGTTAATTTGCTCGTGAAAAGTGTGTTGGAGTGTCCGTGAATGTGATTATGTGTCATTGTGAAAGTTCATTATAATGGATCTTGAACCACATAAATTAAGATATTCAACCACATAAACTATTTATTTAAATATATAAGTTGAGATATTAAACCACATAAGTTAAGTGATTAAGGATGCACTTAATCCATATGGATCACATTCGAATTGGTCCAAGTCGATTCATATACGTTGATTTTGGATTTGGTCCATATAGATACGAACCAAATCGGTCTAAGTTGAGTAAATCTGCACCCCTACAATATGAATATTCTTTAGTCCGGCTCAAAATGGATTATTCCACCTAATTAGGTCCAATTCATATGGGCCTATTTGGGCTAAGAACCGGCCCAATCTCTTGATTTCACTGATTTCAGGTTCGTGAACACACACCGTGCAGTGTCTATTTTCTGGTCACTGAATTCAGAAGCGATTTAATTTCTAAAACACTCACTGTACATAACCGTAGGGAAACGGACCATAGACCAGAGACCATCGCCAAAAAATTCACTTCGTGTTTCTTGCCGCCAAAAATTCATACAATAATCTATCCGTTAAAGCTTCCAGCTATTTCGACTCTGTACTCCGCTTCTCATTCCTCCTGCAGCAGAACCATCACACGCGATGCGCACTCGTTTCGTACCCACGGACTACTCCACTACATTCGACGCCGCCGGAAGCTGTGGTCCAGTCGAAACCCTAGGCTTCGTCCGCCTTCCTCTCCCTCGCCTTCCTCCGGATTTCCCCCCATTTTCTGCAAATTTTCTGGAGTCCTTTAATGAAACCCCAATTTTTGGCGACTCTTGCGAAAGTGAGAAGTTACCGATCGACGATGCTCTCTCAATATTCTTCTCCGACGTCCTTCCTCACTTTGTTGGCTGCGCCAGTTTTGAGGAAACGGCAATTGGCCGCGGTGAGGAAGCAACTGAGGTAATGTAATCGGAGGTGACCAAATTTTATAGACGATGCTTATTTGAATTTTTATTGGAAATTGGTGAAGTTTTATGTTGAAATTGACGGTGATGTGACTTTTCATAAACATTATCGGAAGATCTAGAACTGATTGAGGAATTGCTTTTTCTTAAAAGTGTGATTATGGATTAAAATTTACTGAGGTAGATCTGGATTTGGTTGCAGTGTTGATATTTGTGCATTTGCTTTGGACTTTGGTTTTGCTTTGAGTCCTGCTTTACTTTGTGATGCTGGTGAAATTATATTACACTACTTCAATGATAGGCAAAAGAAGATCTGACGCAAGGAGTTGTGTTTAATTTGGTTTTTCATATTGTCGTATCTAACAAAAACCATCGCCTCTACTTCAGTTGTTCTCTGCAAGTTTTTGTTATGTTATATAGCCATATTGACGTGCTATTTAAATTATTCTCAATGAATTTCAGAATTTCAGCTTAGAGTAGTGTCTTTGTACATCTTTGGCTGCATTTTATCGACTCTATGACCTTGCTTACTTTCTCCTTCGTTTTTTGTAATTTTTTCCTTGTTTATCTCTTAATCCCAAGGTGCAATAGTTACATATTGTTTAATATGAGATCATCCTTGGAGACGAGTTTGTGTATTACAACAGTACAACAGCGAATCAAATGTGCGAATTACCGTCTAATCTCCCTTAGAGTTTTAACATGCAGCTCGTATATTCCCCAGAAAAGACATTATAAGTGAAATTGTCAAGTACAAAAAATATACCAAATTACTATGTTCTTCTCTAAATTAACTCAACTTGTAGAGGAACAGTGAGATAAGTTATGTTGAGAGAGGACTGTAGAGATTGGGTTCTGCTATAGTGGATATTGGAGTATTAAATAAGTTGTCTCTTTGTGTTTTTTTTTTCCTTTTGCTACTTTATACATGTTTGGGATATTAATCAGATTCTAATTTGCTGTATTTCAGGAGAAATATGGAACAACATCGAATAAAAAGAATGGGAATGGACTTAGGTTTGTGCAATTTGAAACTCCAGAGATGGATACATCCTTGCTCCCATCGGTAAAATTTCTTTCCAACTTCATAGATATTGATTGATGTTCTTTTCTATGTATACTGACGTTTGAAAAGGATCTTGTACAGTATGGAACTTGTATTGGACATGGCACTGACCCATGTCGGTATGCCATTTAGCATGTGCAAGAATTAAAAGAAACATATAAGCAATTAGATAAGTAATGGGCTCCAGCACCTACATACCTACATGGCAGCAACAACAGTTTTTTCTCTTCAAGTTTAACTTAGCCGTATAAAAGTAAAGAAAAAAAGGAAAATCTGAACATGTGAGAAAAATTACCTCATATAAATCTATTATCTCTTAACCTTTTTTATTAAGATTATAATATTTTTTCCACAATATTATTGTCCACAAATTTCAATAGTAAATGTCCAACATGATAATTGGTATGAAGTTTATTTCATTGTTATCCTACCTATATTTCTATAAATCCATTATCATCCATAGTTACATATTGTATGTATATGCATATTCTTTTGTTTTCCATATAAATATCATATTGGATAGTTGTGTCCGGGTCGTGTCGTGCCCTAAATGTTTTTACAAGTTGCCAGGCTTAGGTGTTTCATTTCCATGTCACCTTCTCATTGTCCAATTGATATGTTTAAATTACAGTCTCTTAATTTATGTACTCTTCTCTTTATTCAGCAGAAAAGTGCGGTCAATTCCCATATACAGTGCTTGCATATTTTCTCGGAGCTTCCAGATGCTCAATTTCCAATGGTAAATGTCTCTCGTTTCTGGTGCATACATATTTAATGGGATTCGGGCTTGTTTTTAAGATATCTTCATCATAACATTATAGCAAGTGAAAGTGCTCTAACAAAGATTACTTCATTCGTTATCCGCCTCCAGACTTGCATTTCTTGGTTAAAATATTTGCCTAAGAAACTCTTTCAGATATTACAGATTAGTAGGTGGAACTAAGATTTTTTTCCTTTTGGACCTTTTAATGGGAATGAAATCTCACAAGCTGCAATGAACTACCTTTGTTCCTCTTGGTTTTAAGCTACTAGTTTCTAGTATTTGTGGTCCAAGTTATTTAATGTACAAAATAGTATTGTCGTTAATCAGTTGGAAAGTTAATTGCAGGATCCACTCAATTCTGAGCTTATGCTACAGGATCACCCTGAGATTCAGCAATCACTATACTCAGTTGATGACATGAGTGTAGAATACTCTATGGAGCAAAAAACTGATATGTTGGAAGATACTAATTCTGTTCAAGGAAAACTTCATTCTCATAACATCAAGTTTCCTCTTTTTGAAGTGGATGTGGAAAGTCTGGGTGTTCCTGGAGGAATATATATGACAGACGAACTTCTGAGTTTTGGAAATATTGAAAAGCAGATGGTGGAACAGCCTGCTGAAATAATTATTAACAACAAGGAGCTTCTGGGTTCTACTGAGTCTGACCTGCTAAAGTATCTATTAGATCACTGTGTAGCTACAGATTGTCTTGAGGACACAAACATTTCATCAGAAATATACTTCATAAGCATTATTGAACTGTCAAATAATGAGGGGTACTCAACACTCCATCATGGAAAACCAGATGGTGATCTTATTTGGTCCATGGAGCCAATTCTCTTTGATGAATTTTTGTTCCTTGATTTGGATCCATATTATTTCTGTGAGGTACTTTCAGATTCAGCAAAGAAGACTGATGCTGAAACATGTGAACTCATGTTTGAAGAAGTCATGAACTTCAACAATTTCAGCCAATTGATTGTTTGTCATGAGCTTACCCTTATGGACGACTCTTTTAAATCACTGCCAGTACCAATCTTTTCAGATAATAGAAATAGTTCATCACATAAACTGCTTGAGGAACTATTGGCCCAGTTGGATTGGCAGTCCTCATCAGCATCTGATGGTCTGTATCTTGATTGGCATTTTCTAGGAGCAGATGATTGTGAACCAGCAAAATATCCTTCTTGTTGGAAACTGTTACGGGAGATAGACACATACAAGACGGATGCTGATATAAACTCGAGTGTCTGTGAAAAGCTGATATTTGATTTTATTCTCTCTGAATGTCACTCTGATAAACCAAATGCAGAAAACTATAAGGAAGTTCTGAACTTATCTTGTAATGCTGCCCCTATATACCATTCTTCTGGTAAAGCAGATTTAATTAGTTCCTGTAATCAAGGAGATGGAAAAAGGATAAGTGGAGACATTTCATCGAAAAACAGTGTTGAGAAGGTTCCAATGTTTGGTGAATCCATGTCTAGTGATCTAGAGTTCTTTCTGAATCCTCGTAACTACGCTATAGAAAGAGAAAGTATAACTGCAAACACGCTAGTCGATACTAATACTGTATGTCAAGTGCTGCCGACTGATGATTCTGCCGCTGCTAATGGTACTACTGAGCTTCAACAGAAATTGAATGTCAAGCTATGTCAGGTACAGTGTATTTATTATATACGGAATGATTTATTGGCCATGTTGGAGAACATTGACAAGTTAATACAGTTGCAAAATCAATATTAAGTTTCCTATGACTTGATGTTACTAAAACCTTCGCGATGAAATACATTTTAATACGTATCTTCTACTTCAGGCATATGTGATTCTTCAGGCAATGTTAGGTTTAGAACAAACTTGACTAGTGTTTGCTTAAATTATTGTTTTTATTTCATGTGTTATCTTTTAGATGTTGATTATTACTTGTAGTCTTGCGGTTAATCTTATTCAATTGTTGTTCCAGAAAAAACATTTGGATTCTCCATCAGCCCAGGTTGAGTGCAACACTGAGCGGGGAGAGTTACTATATACTACACCTGCCAAGCAAATATCTAGCAATGATCCTGCAGAAGCCGTAAATGAAGTTGACAACTGCACCGTGGTGCCTGTTCAATCCATTCCAGTGGGCTGGGAATCAGAGCAAAATCTCTCGTGCGAGCCTTTTTGCCCCAAAATTGTTGTAATAGTGAACACCCGGAATTTCAATGCAGAAATGGTAATTTCCAGGAGAAGCACATATCAAAGGATTCTTAAAATGGAACAAGGAGGAGCACAAGTTGTAGAACGTGACATAAGTCTACCTGTTGATGTAATAGTAAGTTCCGGGGTTAGTCTCACTTGGTATGACTGCAAAAATATTGGAAAGAAAGCTTCAGCTCCGGACGAGGCCTTTTCATGCTTGCCGTTGTGTGTTGAAAGCATTGCTGCTAGTATTTTGACTGACTTGAGCTTTGCTTTCAATTGCTGCATCCTGGTAAGTTCACTGCTGAAAGTTTTAATATCAAGCAATGATTCCTCACTGCTTGTAGTTGAGATTCTGGTTCTTCTGTCATTTATACACATATGTCTAGTGGTGAGAACCTGGTTCACAATGCTACAACAGGCATATGTTCTGGCAGAAGCCAGATCAAGATAGCTTTAAGGACGTTTCTTTCTTCGGTCATACCCTCTACATAGGAATATTATGAAAAATTATCAACTCTATTGTACGTTAATCACTAGTAAAGAATGACAATCCTTCAGCCAGTTGTTATCATGTAAAGTTTGCCTATACTTGAGTAGTTTAAATTAGAGGCCATAATATTTTATTCTTGTCCCAAATCATCCTTTTACATTATTCAGGAAATAAAGGGGTTTAAGAAGAATTTCAGTGTTCCAGTAGCAACTTTAGGGTACTGTATATTGTTTTGATTGGATTGGAGTAATTTTTAACAAAGATCTGAGAACTATAGTTTTATCAGGCATGCCGATAACTGGGTGCTTATGTTGTTTTCCTTCCAGATATTTGAGGGAGAATGCAATTTCCTGTCTAGCATTATGGAATCATCAGATGAACTCTATGCTGCGGCAGCTAGCTTAGGGATTGATATACAGATTTTTTGCTCATATTCATATGAGATGACCGAAGAAATTATATTGTCCTGCATCAAGGCTACAGCAGGGATGAGTAGGAACCTCTATCCAAAAATGTTGGACTCCGAGAGCCTAGCAGAATCCTTTCTCACTGCATTTCCTTCCATTAATCCTCTCTCAGCTCATGCAATCTTGTCTTCTGATGCCATACTTGGGAAATTTCTGGAGATGTCAAAGGGGGGCAAAATTTGCGCTCTTCAGAAGTATCAGGTTCCTGATGAAAGTGTTGCTTTGCTGAGTGCAATAACCAGATATGGGGAGCGAGAGGATTCTAAATCCGGACTGACAGATTGCTCCTCTTCAGTATCACTTCCAGACTCCGAAAATGTCCAATTCAAATTGGAATCTGAGAGGAAGAAACCTAAATATACACACAAGCTTTACAATGCATGTGAGTCTCCAAATGACTTGTTTCATATGGAGCCGCTCAAGTTTGACCAACATAATTATTCCAAATTGTCCGTCCCATGCAATTCTTGGCTGTCAGAAAGGGCTGAGATATCCGATAAAACAGAGCAGTTCAGTTTATCTTTCAATGACAATTTACTCAGTCATAGCACGGATGTTGATACTGACATGATAAAGAAGTCCATGGATATGTCGAGCCTTAATGAATTTCCATTGAGAAAAGGTCTTCAAATACCAGATGAGAGAGAGAAGACCTGGATGCCTCAGATTGACACAAATTACAGCCCAAGAAGGAGATCAGCTACGACATCAAAGAACTTTAGCAGACAAAGTATGAAGGGGACTGGGATTCTGCAGGAGGATTTTCCTGGTGAAGGTATTGTAGAGGATACTCCAGCATTTATGGAAAATATTTCTGTTGCAAACTCCCCTGGGTTTTCACCGTTTCTGCTTGATGTTGAGAAAGACTACGTAGCAAGAAATTCCAGGGTGAGTAAGCGACCTCTTAGTGCAACTAATCTGCCCACGTTCGAAGATCATACTGATTTACATTCTGCCTCTGCTACCTGGGTTTCGAAAAATGATAAGAGGCAAATCTTGAGGGAAAAGATTAAACCACATTTTGATACCATTAACAGAAATAATAGTTCTGCGGTGAATGAAAAAGGGATTTTGGATGAGGATATGATAGAAAAACTTCCACAGGATTCCTATAAATTCTCTTTCCAAGACAAGGATACACAAGGTTTTGGTGGCACGCCACTCTCAAATGCTCTTCATTCTACTCAGCAACAAGGATCACCCTGGACCATAGAATTTCTTAACAGGATAAGGGAAAAGAGTAGATTGCGTAAGCAGTCTGTTTCATATGATTTATCCTCTCCTTGTTTTGCTTCCCCCGGGAACACATCAAAGTTCACTAAAAGGAAGAGTCCTTCAATTCTTGAATTCTACAAATATGACGGAGGTAGCACCAAACAGAAAATAGTTGATAAAAAAATACGTAAGAGACCTTCACAACCACTAAAGTCCTTGAAGAATAACAAGGCTTCGACTTCGTATCCTCCATCATGCACTCCAGTTGATAAGAAAGCAAGACGGGTATGTCAATAAATCCCTCTTGATATTTGGAGAATTTTCGTATTGCATCTTAATCTGTGTTTGATCAACTGCAGGCACTATCTTTTTCGACAAATGGAAGTGGAGGGCAGAGTAAGCTGGTTTGGAGGGAAAACAATTATCATACCACGCCAACAAGATTTTAGCATCAAGTATGCATCTTGTGGATGTCAAAAGATATGTTGCTTCGTTAGCTGTTAAAAAGTACCAGGTATAACATCTATCACCAGTATTAACTAAAAAGGGGGTTCTTTTGCAGCTCAAGCGATGTTATTGTTGACCCTGGTGCAGCAACAGATCACTATCGAGCGTAGTTGCTAGCTTCAACTTTTCACCTCTGTCCTGCAGATACACATTGAAACGGTCCAGATAGAATCCAAACAGGTCAAATATTGATATGTATTGCATTTATTAGGAAAGTTGAATTTGTTAGTTCATACCGAGTTCTGTTCGTGAATGATAGATGCTGAGCTTTGTTTATAAAACTAGAAGCACAGTACGGTAGTGTGCAGGTATATGTATTATGAAAATAATGCAGAAAATGCATATGTTTCCTTTGTATCTTGTCTTTAAGCTGTTTATTAACCATCTTTATGCAAGTACGGTGTTAGAAGAAGCTGTCAGGAGTAATAAAGTCAGAATTTGGTTTTGGACAATGAAGATTGCTTTTTATCAGCTACAAGGGTCGTCCATGATCCTCGTCTTCTCTTCAACATCAAATGAGATTTCCTTTGTATCAAGTTGGTTTCCACAAGTTTTATTTTCTAAATTTGATGGATCAATGGTTTATGTACCCTCATAATTTGTTCCAATAATCTATTGCTTTCCCTAAACAGATTTCAAATTGATTTGAAAATTGACAAGGTTTATGTAGTATGGTACAATGAGGTCAATATGCTAAAACGAGTGTGTGCTACTATTTGACGAAAAAATACCAAAACTTAAGAACTGTATTATATTGCTTTATGGCTTTAGGATAATGAAGATGAGCAACAAAATAGAGGCATATGCTTTGGGAAATGGATTATTAATGTACATATCATTCTTCCTGGTCCTAAACGGTCTATAGTTGGTTTTCACCATTTTCCATAGTAGCTAGTTTTTCTTTCCACTTTTCAGATTACGAAGACTCATGACAAGTTGTTGCCGTTCACCTTCTACTTCGGCAAATTTGAGACTTATTTCTGAATATCGCTCATGCATTTCTTTCAATTCTTCTTCCATGCTTCCGTTTCTTTCCTTCAATGATGCTACTTCACTTAACAAGTTGGAAACATCGAAATCACCACCGGGCTGACCACTCTTTTGCAGAGGGAGGTTCTCTAAGACTCTCATTTCTGCACCTTTTATGTTTTTGCCTTTGTTTTGTCTTCCTTGAAACACTAAAGAATTTCTGTCTTGGGCAGGCGCAGTCTCCTGCATACAAGAGGAGAGTTGGGGATATTCATAACTTTTCAAGTTTCTGTAGACATATTCATAAATGTTACTTTAAGCATGATATTTTTATATCTGTCTTCCTTAGAATTCAGGATGGAGTCTGCCTTTCATTCCCAATACAGTGAGCAAGACAGGTATGTTAGTTTCCTGATTTATTAGTGCAGATAATATTTTATTCAGTAGATTAAAAGTTACAGGTTTGTAGATCGTTATGTTAAAGATACGTCAGTTGAAGTTTTGTTTCTTTTTCTTTTTCCCTTAACATTAGTTATTGCCATTGTTCTGGTGAACATACTAACCTGTTCCAACTGTTCTGTAAGGCCGGCGGCTATGCGGGTTGTTGTCATATTACTTCCCACTTGTTTGGTATTATACTTGAGATTCTTTTCCTTCATCTGAGAAGTGGCAGAATTTTGTAGTGCAGCTTTCTCCTGTTCCTGTAAAATTAACCACTGTTAGTAACAAACTTATCAGTAAAAGAAGCGATAAATAACATATTTTTGTTTCACAGAAAATATTTGGATTAGCAGAAGAATCTTGTAATAAATTACAGAAGCTCGTGCAAATCTTTCTAAAATTCTTCATAGCTACTTAAAATATCTCACTAGCTTTTCAAGTTCACCGCACTTATCTTGTTTGGAATGTTAATGATTATATGTTCCGCGGTATTTTGTCTAACATATATATGAAATTCTTAGTTTGTTAATAATTTCGCTCTCGAATAGAGATCTGTCAAATCTAATGTCAGAGGCAGAGCAACAAGTATATTTGGAATCAGTTGCCTCATATTTGATATGGTTTTATCTTTCTGGCAGGTTTTGTTTTCCTTAGACTGGAAGTTACCTGTTCCTTCTTGCGTAAGACATTCCGTAATTTGGACATCTCTTTCTTCAGGTCTTCTTTCTCCACTTCTAATTCAAGCAGATGATTTTTGACTTCATTATTCTTGATTCTGAGCTTTTTGACTTCTAAATGCAAGTTCTCTTCTTTTGTCTTCTTTTGGTCCATTTGAGATTTCATCGAAACATTATCCTGCATTATTTTTTCTGCTTCCTTCCTCACTGAAGCTAGTTGTCTCTCTAGATCATCCTTTTCTAACTTCCATCTCTGGAGCGACACTGATTCTTCAGTTGTTGTTTTCATTTGTTCAGATTCATCTCTGGAAACTTTTTCCTTTTGTTGTTGATACTCTCCAAGTATTATATCATATTGATTTCTTGTTGTTTGAAGTTCTTCTTCGGCCTTTTGGAGCAGTTCTTCTAGAACTTCATTTTTCTGGTGCAAATCATCAGCTTCTGCCACTGCTTTCTGGGCTAATTTATCGCTCTCCTCGATTTTCAATGTCATCTCAGCAGAAACCTGTCTGAATTCCTCCTGAAGTCGCTCAGCTGCATTTGCACTGCTCCATCTTGTTTTCCTTAACGCTTCCTCAGCTCGTATAGCCCTCTGCTCCTGCATATTTTTTGCCTCTGCTACTGCTTCCAAATCTCCCTCAAAAGCTTGTGTCTGATTTTCCAGTTCTTTCTGCAGGCTCTCAACCTGAAACTCAAGCTCATCAATCATGTTCAAAGACTCGGAGTATTGAAGTGCCTGCCTTTTGTTTTCTGCCTCCAAGCTTGCTATACGGAGTTTGAGCTGCTTCTCTATAGCCAAGGATCCAGTATAATTTTGCTGAATTTCCATATTTTCTTTTTCGTTGTGTTCTAATTTGGAGTATATATCATTGTTTTCTGTCTCTAAAATTCCATAATCAAGAGTCAGCCTCTCTAGGTCCATTTGTATCTCTGCTTTCTCTTTCTTGTGGACTTCTATTTCGGAATACAATTGTTCAATCTTCAGCTTCAGCTTTTCTGTTTCATCAGCATTTCCGTGCTTACTGTCCAGGTCTTCTGGTGCTTTACTTCCTTCATTTCCATTCATCGTTGTTCTTGGTGATACTGCGAGTGCCTCTGATCCACTGTAGAAGTCCTTAATTTTGGTGGAGAGTCGAGATATTTCTGTATTTTTCTGGTCCAATTTCTTGCTAAGATCTCTCATTGCAAGAACGAATTCAGAATTTGAATCTTCTGTCTTCTGTAGATTTGACTTCAATTTTTTATTCAACTGTTTTTCACGTTGAAGCTCTTGCTTGATGTTTTCAAGTGGACTTCTCAAATTTTCAGTCTCTTTCTGTACAGGAACCGAGGCTGCTGCCTCATTCTTGCATTTCAACGAGGACTTGAGTTGTTCACATTCTGCTTTAAGCGCATCTTTTTCCTCTTTTAAACAAGAAATTTGCTCTGATAACTGCTGTCCTCTCCTGATTTCCTTGGTAATTTGCTTGCGGAGGGACTGTACTTCTAGTTCTGAATGTTCCATCTTCCTTTCCAACACTTTCATTTGATTTGTCAATGAAGTTCTTTTTACTCCATCTCTTGATTCAGAATCATAACTATATGATTCTGAATCTTCTAAGCTTCCATTTAGTTCGTCGTGCAGAGAAGTTGCTTCACTCAAGTCATCACTCTACAAAACAAAAAATTCTACTTCCGATTAATGCAGCCAATAATGAATCAGAAACATATATATTAGTTCTCCCTCTTTCTAAGTTTCTAGTTTTTTTTGGTCCCTAATCAATTTTCATTTTGGTGCAAGTATGCAACTAAAATCAGGAATATTGATAATGTGAAACCTTACTTCAGGAGATTTCAGGTTTCTCTTTCCGAAGCTCGAAGAATTATTCACTTCTGTTTCGAGGTTCTGATCGTACAAGTCATCCACTGGCACTTCACTGTCTTCACTATGTCTGCGATTTTTCAAAAGAAAAAAATTGCTCCTGTTTTTCTTATTTAAACCATTTACGGCTGTATTCAGCACTTTTAACAGAGAATTTTTTTTGATCATCATTGTTAATCTACCTCACCTTGAATCAGAACCTTCTTGCATCTTCTGAACTGTAACCTGGTAATTGCAATTTAGTTTTAGGACAGATTTTGCTACTGGTGCAGTTTTATGCGTACACCATTATGATAGTAAACAATGATAATGCAACTGGATACTAGCTCTTTATCTGCACATCTAATTTTGGGTGCATGTGTTGTGTGTGAACATGCAAGAGATCAAGAGTAAGAACTAACGTGTAATATAGCACCCGATTTTGATGTCTGTAGAGGGAGAGATAAATTCAATGGTTTGGTAGCCTCGGCTAGATCTGCAAAATCAATTGAGACTTCTCCCAGAAAGCCTGCTTTTGATGACCCCTGTGAGTACAAAATATACTGTTAAACTTATTTCCGTTTTTAGCTACCTATATGAAAACAACCTTCTTATTTTTTCATTTCTGTTTTCGGGGGGAATGTAGAGAGTTGTGTTACTTACTGTTGATACAACCACATAGTAGAATTTTTCTCTGATTCGCCCCGTTTTTGTCTCCTTGACTAATTTTACAGTTTCGTACACAGGGTTTTCCCAGGTGCAGGTTCCTTCGAGAATCGGCGTTTTTGCTAATTTGACGGTTGGCTTTCCTACATCTACCGGAACCAGAGAAATCATGAGGCTTTTGGATTTTAGCTGCGGCACCTGGAGTTATTTGAAGAGGTAAAATTTGAATTACAGGTAAGATAACGATTCCAAAATCTCAAATTACTTGATCAATACTATCACTACTTGGTTCCATCTCTCTAACACTGTTGTGTATATATGAAACAAACCCATTCTTGAAATAGGCGAGGAATATAATTTAAGCTAAGCTCGCACAAGTTATAACATACATTATGAATTACATAGGCGCAACATATGTTTTTTGCCGCACTGTTGACTTAACATACCTGAGTTGCTCGAAATTGCATCTTGAAGACAACTTTGATCTTTTTCTCGCTTCGCTTGAACATCTTCTCTGGATATTATGCATGAAATAATTCGGGATCCTTTTCTTCTATCTTTGAGAACTAGAAACTGCACTCTCTCTTTTGCCTTAGCTGTAAGTGAATAGGTATCAGTAAGCCTGAATGATTTGGTAGTTGGATGAACAGACAGAACTAAATTATTGTGATCCCTTTATTTTATTTGCTGGAAATTAATCCTGGAAAGATGGTATAGATACAAGCAGATAGTTTAAGGTTTTGACTTTTGAGTTAGATCGTCGAATATTTCTTTGCTTAACTGCATGTGACAACAAGTAAGAAGCTGTAATTGCAGCAAATTTCTACCAATACTGTATGCAATTAGATGCTTTAACCCAACCCCCAATAAGTCAAACATGCCTCAGTTTTATTACAAGTTGTGGCTGCCATGTATTAACTATTAACTAGCTCATGTCCCACAATTTAAATACTACGATGGCTGCAAGATTGGGATTAGTTAAATGTATTGTTGAATCAGCTGCCTTCTTAATTAACAATTAATCAACTTGCTGGTGTACGTTTTTATATTTGTTTTGCATTTTTATCTTGTTTTGAATTAGTATTAATGATTAATGCTTCCGTCGGTGAAGGATTTATACCAGCCTTGTCACCTGGGAAAGTATATATTCTTTATAGTTCCTTCTTCCAATTCATCCTTGGATGCTTCTTTATTGTTCTTGTTTGTTCCCTTTCTTGTTATCCAGTTATATGAATAAACATAAATAAATACCCAATAGGCAATAGGTAATAACTTCTATGTTAACCTTAGTATTCAATGTATTCTCCCGAGTCCTGTGTGTGGAAATAAATGCCCGGTTTTTTACTGTGGATTTTCATTTAGTACTATAGTAATATATTGGTGTTAGGTACATTGATTGAAGGTTGGGTTAATGAGTGTGTGTGCACAAGGCGTTGCGGATACATTATTTCGGTGTAATTAAACAGATTTAGTAGTATCTTAATAAGGTTGGTGTACTGGTAATTATTAATTATCTTATAGTATGAAAACTGTCCTTTGCCCAAAAATTGGTAGGTTGATGCAATTAAATTTGTTAAACAAATAGTGGGGTCATCTTCACTTAATATTAGTCCCATATTGCTCCTTTAATGCCTGCAAAAGTGATCTGGAAATTAGGGTTTCCACGTGAATACATGTGCGTTGCTCTCTCTCTCTCTCTCTCTCTCTCTCTCTCTCACACACACACACACACACACACACGCACGCATATTCAGAACGAATCATTTAATTGTTCCATTTTCTCACTGTATGCTAATTTCTATAGCTAAAGCTTTGTACTCACTTTTCTTAGCTAAAGCTTCCTCTTTCAGCAAATAATGAATAAATAATTTTATATATACACAATTAAATGAATAAATTTTAAATTAACTCCTTTAAATTGGCAGCAGTGATCCATTCAGTAGGCCGAGTTAAGCCAGAGATATAATTTTATATTGGACTGACTATACATGGAATCAAAGCCTTTTCAAATGGGCTGCCTATCCATAGTCTATTCTATTCCATGAATACAGCTTCGGCCGGGTATTTTATTCATACATAAGTAGTAAACTATAATTTAATTTTCATAATCCCATACTCTTCAAAACGTGGCATCCAATAAAGGATACATGATCTTGATCTCGAATGACATATCATCCTCATAAAAGAACTATTATATAGTTCTCCACTCAAACTACTGGAAATTTCCGAAACTTTCTGATTTTCGAACAATATCTTTAATTTCCGAAAATTATTCACACGTATGCATTTTCTTCAAAAATTATTCTTTTAGTATTAGTATTATTATTGTTTTTTATTAGAATTAGTATTGGTATTATTATGTTTATATTATAGGTGAATAAAAATAGATTTTTTTTTAATTCAGAAATTGCTCAGTTCGGTCCGAAAAAATCGATTTCGGAACGTGTTTTCTGATTCCTACATGCATGATGCATAAAGCCAAGTTTATCGTCTTATCTTTTAAATAAAATACTAGAAGAAACTACAAATTATCAAGCTTCATTTCATCCATCATTTTCTTCCTTCAATATGGAATTAAAATATTTTCAACTTGTATATTCTGAAGAGAGTAAAATCGTGTGATGGCCACATTCCCAATGGGCCCAGTCCGTGAAGATATTTCCATTCGGTTATATATGACCCAAAGAAGCCCAGTCTAGTAGGCCCCACTCGGATGACATCTTTTTCCTCATTACCTATTTCGATTGATTTATTCTAAAATAATAATAATCATAATAATTTGTATTATCCCTGGTTTCTCATCCACATGCATCCTCTTCCTCCCAATTATCAAATAATGTGTCAAGATTATTTTACTTCATTAAATAAAATTTAAATGTGGTGAGGAGTGTGAGACATTTAAACATGACAATAAAGTGGGAGATTCTTGAATCATTCAAATTTTAAAAAATTACAAGTTCCCTTGTGGTAGTTAGAAACTAGAATTACAATAATGTTTGAAAATTTACTAAAACCCCAACTACAAAAAACAGGGCACACAAAATGACACGAGTGCCGAATGGTGGATGAAACACGTGGGATAAGGATAGTCCTATGAGGGGTTGACACGTGTCCATTCTCAGAATTCGATGAAAGGATATCTTCATCCGACGGCTCAGAAGCCGTCAATTATTATTTATTACCGGTAAGTATGGATGGCTAGTGTGAGAATTATTATTATAAGAAAGATTGAATCTTTGTTTCGTCTTGAGTAAAATAAAACCCAGAAGAGTGTGTGAAGAAAAGAGAAAAAAATGGCGATAGGGGTGAAGGCTTTACCGATTTCTTTCGTGGCACATTTTCTGGCGATTGTCGGCGTGATTCTGGTGTTGATTTGGACAATCAACTTCAGAGGTGGTTTGGCGTGGGAATCTACGAACAAGAATCTTATCTTCAATGTATGAATCCGCTTTCCCCTCGATTTCTGTTCTTCGTTTTCGTTGAAATTATTGCTAATTGAGTACTGATTATATATATATTCTGTCTATACAGTATAGTTATTGATTTTGATCTGATGAATGTTGAAAGCATCTGTTAGGGAATTAGAAAGTGCTGATTAGGGGGGTGATGATACACGTGTACTGCTATAAGTGGCTAACTGCCTTGATAAATAAATGAACATGAGCAATGAATGAGGTCCGAACATAATTGGGAGTTATTTTGTTTAGGGGGTGTAAACGAATCGAGTCGAATTGAATACGTATTTGTTCAATTTTGTTCGAATTATTATCGAGCTCGAGTAGTATGTGTTCAAGGCTTAAGGTTTGGTTCGTTATGTTTAACAAACTGATCTAAACCGAGTTTTTTTTCAACGAACGGTCTCTAATCGATCTTTGAGAAGCTTGGTTTGAAATTTTCAGCCCTAATTCTGTTAAGTCAGTAGCATAAACTGGCAGCTGATGAAAATCACTTCATCTGAAGTTTATTTCCTTTTACGTCACTGCAAATTAATAACTGTGCACGGTTTCGTAATTGAATATATTCCTACAACGTTTTACTCCCGTTACACCAGAGCAGTCTTTCTTGTTTAAGAACTTTCGGGTTTTTGGATTTTAGGTTGGAAAATAGAAACGTACATAGATAGAAACCTTGTAAAGATCACCGTACAAAAAACTACGGTAGTTCTAATTTGTAAATCTCATATTTTTATTCTCTGTTTTGCTCCAGCTACATCCTGTTCTGATGCTTATAGGGCTCATTATCATCGGAGGCGAAGGTAATCAATCCATTCTTGTTGTAAGCCCTAGCTATGTAATAACTCGATTTTTAACCGAAATTATTTTGTAAAAAAACATCAGTTAATCTTCTCTTCTCTCTCTAACTGCAGCAATCATCAGCTACAAAAGCCTGCCACTAAAAAAACCACAGAAGAAACTCATACATCTTATACTGCACGCAATAGCTCTCGTACTCGGCATAATTGGAATATACACCGCATTCAAGTTTCACAACGAGAGCAACATTGCCAATTTATACAGTCTGCACTCTTGGCTTGGGATCGGTGTCATAGTTCTCTATGGCATTCAAGTAATTTCCGATCTCGCATAATTTCCCTCTCTCTTTCTTTCTCGTAGTACTTCACTTTTTTTGTTTTTCCTAATTTTCAGTGGCTTTACGGTTTTGTGGTGTTTTTCTACCCCGGAGGATCACCGGCCATCAGAAGTGAGTCAGTTCCATGGCATGTGCTATTCGGTATTTTCGTGTATGTATTAGCTGTTGGCACTGCAGCAACCGGATACCTTGAAAAGCTAACGTTTCTCGAGACCAACGGAGTTGCTAAATACGGGACCGAGGCTTTTCTCGTCAATTTCACTGCCCTCGTCACGATCTTATACGGGACTTTTGTCATCTTGACTATTCTTTCTCAGTCTCCTCCTCCAGAAGATGAATACAGCTACTCAGCTATATAGAATGTGATGAAAACAGTATATTCTCATATCTATAGTTGCTTGTATTAATTATTTTTAATTACCACTTTAATCCAATCTGGTTTGGGGGATCTGGTCATAGGTATATGAACTGGATATATGTGTTGTAATATTTGTGTTCATAAGCTGCACGTTTTAATTGTTTTAATTTATTGGAGAAAGGTGTTTGCAGGAATTGTTGTGTTTGTATTTTAGCTATTGGAATCATGCACTTGTTTTGGTGGGAAAAACTGTAGTTGTTTGATGGTCAGACTTTGTAATAAAATATGTTATGCATATATATATATGTTATGACTTGGGTTAGGGCTTCAAATCGGACGGGCTGGATCGGAATTGACACTATTGAAAAATTAATCTCGATTCCGTAAAAGAAGATATTTTAAATTGGAATTTTGGAAAAAATTGTTCAAAAATCAATTTTTCTTTTTATTCGCACATAATATTAATATTATAAATGTAACTTATGAAATTATTTTTGGAAATCCTATTGGATTATACTTCTCCAACTCTGATAAAAGAAATGGGAAAAATCAGAAATTGGATTTTTTCGAATTTCGGAATGAAAAATATTATTCTAAAATTAGAAATTTTTGATCGGAAGGCACAAAAACAATAATCCACTCCCAATTATGACACGTGTTGATGTTGAATTCACTGAAGAATAAGCTAATTGAGATTTGCTAGTTGAAAAGTGTCAGAAGGATCAAAACTTATTTTCTAAAAAGTTTAATCTGGAAAAAGGAAAAATAAAAATCAGCTCATCGCTGGATTGAGAGAGTATGACCGCACGATGAACTTGTCAATCAACGGTCCGTATCTGCCAAGGACATAATCAATGTAGTAAATAGTAATTATGTGTGCTTAAACAACTATCAATAATTAATTAGAACTCTTGAACATTACCAATTATGCATTCCCATCTTATTAATGAATTTTAACTTTTTTTAGTTAATTATATTTGTTTTTTCGAAATACCAATTTTAAAATTAGTTTTTTTCTCATTTTGTGTAATTCATGGAATGCCACGTGTCGCGATAAGGTGGGGTAGAGGATGAGGCTGTTTTTGCCGAATGAAAATCCAGCATACATCGTTGTCCAAAGCCCTAAAACAATAATATAAATATTATCTGAAATACTTTCTTTTTCGCATGCTTGGACAAAGCAGCTAAAAATAAATTAATGGGCCTAATTATGGGCCCAATAACAACCAGTTTGCTTACCCAATACGTCACCCACGCCCTATTAATAATCTTTTAATTAATAATAATAACTAATTCATCATATTGCATTATATGCATAGCTTTGGCCCACAATTAAAACAAGTTGGCAATTAGCTAGCAATTGAATATCCCTTGTAATAAATAAATCACGATCTTCTATAATAGTCTGCAAACTAGAGGAAACTACGATTACATCCCTGAGCTAAAATTAAATTAGAAAAAAATCCATTATGTATGGGCTGGCTAATTACGTATTGATGGAGTTTTTTTTAAGACAATACATAGTTAAGTGGGATGATTGTAATTACCTAAGCAAGAGAAGTTTTTTTGTAATTTAATCTTACTTCAGGGATGTGGCCGTAATTTCCATCAATTATATCATATATTTTTTTTTCTTTTTTGATAAAAAAAAAATATATACCATCCTCAAGCACATGTATTTAATTTCTTGTTTGGGTGTGAAGGCTGAGAACATGGTATCAAGTAACCATTGTTGTGGTCACAAGCTTTAGTGTGGACCCCATTTGGGTTTTATTGTCGCAATTCAAGATTATGATATTTATTATAGGAAGAAGACAATAGGATAAAATTGCAATATATATATATATATTTTTCTAGATTTAATTTATTATCTTATTGGTTGAAAAAGGTGGTGTCGTAGCCAAACACAACTCACATTCGATGGCATTTCGAGTTTTCTAGCGATGATTGTGATTTGTGAGAAGATTCCATCAAGATTCTTGTTTTTGTCCACAAACCATTATATAATATTATTTTTAATTTAATCTTGATTTCCCAACTTATTTGTTTTAATATTATATATATTTAATTATTTACTTTAATAATGTCGAGCACTACGAAATGAATTGGCCCCCGCGTTGAGGCCGTGTTGATTGTTTGTGTTAGAGCTTAAATAAGAGTCAACTTGTGGATGAATATTAAGGAAATTAAGAAAAAAAATTAATTAATTAGTGTTGTATGAGATAAAATATCAATTAGGTGTTAGAGCTTTACAAACATTTATCTTGTTACATTATACATTCATTTATTTTTAATTAGCATATTCACGAGAGTGCACGTTCTTCTAGGGGTGTAAACGAGCCGATCTCGGTTGTTTAGGCAAGCTCGAGCTCGAATCCGTTTTGACGAGCTTGAGCTCTTCGAATATTTATTTTTGGGCTCGAGCTCGAAAAAATTCAAGTTCGAGTTCAAGCTTTTGTCAAGTCAGCTCAACTTATTTACACCCCTAGATTCTTTTCAAAATAAATTAAAATTAAAAATAATGAGTTCTTGATGAGATTTTCTTTTTTTTTTTTTGGGCGATAAAATATCGATTCTATGATAAGATGCGAGGTGATTTGATTGACTACCTATATGTCAAAAATCAAAATAAATCTCATTTTTCTGCAAATTGAGTTATCACTACTATTTATAAGTTGATATTTTATAGAATCAAATTGCAACCTCTCAACGCTTTCCCTTCACATAGTTTTGCCAAAAACCTACGTTATTTAAGACTGTATTAAACACAAATGGTGCAAACGGCAATTAATTAAATTAACAAATATTAAAAGATTGCGTACCTCTTGATATTAATTTCAAAGTTTACCCAAACACCCCTTAAATAGTATATAATCAACATTTGACACAACATATTTTTTATTAGTTAAAATTATTACCTCCAAAACTGGTACAAATTTCAAGAAAAAGCAAACTTACAAATGATTACGATGAATTTTGCCAAATAGAGCTTTTTAAAAGAAAAAGGCTTTAAACATAAAAAAGAAATAGATGCAAATTGTAATTAACTGTAAAGTTAGGGGCAGAACTAGGACCACCTTTTGGAGTTAGGACACACCAAAAATTTCTCCGCCTCAACGGCTCTATCCATGGGGGCTGGAATCGTCTGTAACAGTGAGTTTGTACAACTAAGCCACGTGTTTAATTCTAATAGGTGGAATATCTCTCTGGCATAATGAAAAGCAACAGTCAAAAGCTTGGATTTTGACTATTGACTTTTTGGTCCTTAAAGTTAAACACCCTGTTCAACTCCAACCTGCAACACAGGATAAATTACCAAATTTGTATTTTTCGTATTATTTATTTATTTAATTCCAATTAAATAAAATATTAAATTTAATCCAGTGGGCAATGGTGTAGTGCGCCAACTCACACCTTATTATCTGTAATGTAGCGATCAAATACAGCTAGCTCCGTCTTCTCTGTTCAATTCCAGCCGACACTTACCTTCCTTCCAACTAACTCCTACAACTAATATCTCCCCTTTCTCTCTCACACACTACACACACTCAATTATATCTTCCTCTCTCTATATAATCTTCCACTATTGGTATCACTTTTTTTTCTTCTTCTAAATCTGTTAATTCATTTCCTTCTAATTAAACCAAAAGCATCATAGCTAAGTTTTCTGAAGTGATGGCGGAGGAAGAAGCCAAGAAGGTCGAGCCGGAATCTTGCGTGGAGGCTCCGCCTCCGGTGGCGGCGGAGCCGCCGAAGGAGGTGGCTGAGGAGAAAGCCCTCGTCGTCCCACCACCACCTCCAGTCGAGGAGAAAGCCGATGACTGCAAAGCTCTTGCCATAGTTGAAAGTATGTGTTTTTTTACTCTCTACACTCGCTTTCTGTGCATATGTTTTCTCTGTTATATTTTGTTTCTTTTGAATTGGAGAATATCTAATTTTGAAATTGAACTAATTAAGTGAAGAATATTTTGAATATTGGTGAAAAGAATATATGATTTGAGTTTATGTTAATTAGTAAAAAAATTATCACCTATTTGTTGATACAATAAAAAGGATAATTGAGTTGCAGGATTCAAGATTCATTTTTTATTCTTATTAATCCACCTTGTCTATTTCATATTTTCGGTGCAAAAAAAATCGAAGAAAAAGCGAAAAACGAGTTTGTTAATTGAACTTTTGAGATTGTCTGGAGATGTATGTAGTAGTTCTAGTGAATTGGTTATATCATGTAAATTACTTTGTAAAGTCTCGATTTTTACGTAGCAAGGGTTTTGATGAATTCGGTATATTATTACAGAAGAACCGGAAGCTGTCGAGGAGAAGAAACTCGAGGGCTCTATAAACAGAGGTATTCGTAGTTTATATACTCAAAATTCCTTTGCTGAAAAATGATCTAATTATGTTGAGTAATCGAAAAAAGACTCGATGATTAATTATTTCGAATATTATTATTCGTAGATGCCGTGCTTTCCCGAGTAGCGACAGAGAAGAGAATGTCTCTAATTAAAGCATGGGAAGAAAGTGAGAAGTCGAAAGCTGAAAACAAGTAAGCTGTTTCTCGAGAATCCCCTGTTTTTGTTTATCAAATTCGATATATCAAGGCCTTACCGTAAAATATATAATAAATACATAAATACGTCCGATTTTGTCTAATAATCGATTTTGCAGGGCTCAGAAGAAAGTATCTGCTATTGGAGCTTGGGAGAACAGCAGGAAAGCTACTCTAGAAGCTGAGCTTAAGAAGATAGAGGTAACAACGAACTCACACGTGTTTGTGTATATATATATATATATATATATATTGGTTTAGCTAATATAATTCTGAATTTTCGTCGAATGGTTTATCTTTATTTCATTATGGTATAAAGTGGTGAGAACTTTTAACGGCGCCTAACTAATGTTCGTTTCTGAATAAAAAAAAATTGTATCACATGCATGCATACGTTCGAAATATTGTGAAATATATATACTTACATGATCGATATATATATGAATATAGGAGCAACTTGAGATCAAGAAAGCGCAATACATAGAGAAATTGAAGAACAAGGTTGCGTATGTACACAAAGCGGCAGAAGAGAAGAGAGCAAACGTCGAAGCGCAACGCGGAGAAGAACTTCTCAAAGCAGAGGAAGTAGCAGCAAAGTACCGTGCTACCGGGACTGGCCCCAAGAAACTGCTCGGCTGTTTCTGAAATCTGAAATCGGATTTCGAAAGTGAAGTTTGCGTTTGTAGATTATTTTTATTTTATTTTCGGTTATCGATGATTTTAATCGTTGGAAATGTATTGTTGTGTGTTGATTTGGTGTAGAATTTATTTTGTTGTTTTTATTTATTTATTTATCGTGTGTGCATAGTACTGATAATGTATTCGTTTATAGATACATTCTATAGAATCCTGTTACATTATTTGTCAAGAAAAACGAAGAACAAAAATTTGCCCGAATTTGTAAAGAATCTTGGAATCTTCTTATTGTGAAAAAGTGGGGTTGTTTGTGTTATCATAACCTTTTTGCTTTCGTTCTCCGTGATTCGATCTATCCGAGAAAGTCGGCTTTTCATTTCGGTAATTCTTGCTACTGCAAACAATACTTAATTACTTACGATAAGTTCGTTTTTTTCCGAGACATTTATATATTAGAATTGAATAATTAGGGTTCAGATTTGGGATTTTTTTTTACTTTCGGAAATAGGATTAGTAGAGAGGGAAAACTGATCAATCAGGATTCGAAAAAACTCGTAACTACGAAAATAAAGATTCTTACATATATTTTTACACAATCACAACTAATATATATTATATGTCCAGATTTATTTGTGCTGAATGGTGATTTAAGTTATACATACATTCTTCATATATACATGTCATCACAACTTAAATTGAATTCTCCTGGAAAATCGAACCCCAACGACGATTGAAGCATATCTTCCATGGAAATTATATTGTTCGATTTTGTATGCAGTTGATTTTCAAATACGCCTTCATCGAGCAGTAGACTGTCAACCAAAGAAGAATCTTCGGAATTATTCGAACCAATTATCGGATACTTGAAATCAGCTGCTGTAGTAGTATTACTTGATCCGGAACTTTCCGGAAGAAATTTGTCCGAAAACATCCACTCGGCGAACATAACTTTTGGTAAATTGCATCTTTGTCCTGCTCCTATATTTGAATGGTCTTTTTGGTCGTTTTGCATAGACTGATCTGTGTCTGTTTCAATGTTTTCCAAAGATTCGAAGCTCGAATTTTGGGGAATATTCCTCGACTTGTGAGAAGAAGGCGATAGTTGTAATAATTCTTGCTGCATTATTTTTCCACTCATGCATTCAGTTTTATAACCTCCATATTGAGTGTCGACGAGGGGCGTTTTCGGGACTTTTTTCTTTAGGTAAGAGTGCCAGTGGTTCTTTATCTCGTTATCGGTCCTTCCGGGTAAATGATGTGCTATATGAGACCACCTGCCAAAAAATAAAAATAAAAATTATTACATGTAAAAAATTAATAAAAATTAAGTATGAATTAACCAACTAATTAACTAAAGAGAGAGTGATTAATTAAGTTCCTACTTGTTGCCTAATATTTGATGAAGGGTTAGGATAGTGTCCTCCTCTTCTAAGCTAAACGCGCCTCGTTTTAATCCCGGTCGGAGATAATTAATCCATCGTAATCTGCAACTCTTTCCGTTCCTTTTTAAACCTGCAAATAAATAAAATGATTAAATGGGATGACTTAATAAAAAATCATGCACACATGCAATGGTCTTTCTCTAATCTATATAAATTAATTAGATATTTTTAATTAATTTAATTAACGGTCGCCGTCGCCAATCTGTATCCTCTTAACATATTTCTGTAAATTAACATATATAAATACAGTATTGTTTAATTAATTTATTTGAAATTAATTAGCTAGTGTGAAAAAAGGAAAGATGACTTAAATTTCATATATCACTAAGTAGGTGAAGACCATCTCTAATGTTGATTAATTAATATATCGGACCACTTAATTATACTTTGTCCAAAGTCATAAGCATGATTAATAATATTTGATCATATTAATTAATTAATTAATTAATTAATTAATTAATTAAATGTTTTGGTAATAATTAAGGGAGTTACTGTCATAAAATGACATAAATTATTATCCAGTTATTACATCAACATATATATCCTCAAATAAGTTACTGAAAAAGTAGAAGATATATACGATGAGGATTCGACACTCGACTAATTAAAAAAAAAAAACCGTGTTTCGTTATATGATCATGTATCATTATCATGAACTGATAATTATATTTTGAAAAGTTATAAACTAATAATGTATATTTCTTAGTGTGTGTATAATATACATATAAATAAAAAGAATATATATAAATAAAAAAATAATACCGGCATTATTAGGAACAGAGCTCCAGCAGCCATGGCCATAATTGAGAATGTAGTTTCTGAGCTTGTGATCTTCATCTGGGGACCACAAACCCTTCTTGTGTTTCTGCTTTGCCTCTCCCCCTCCATTTTTATATCATCACACAAGATCATATTTGTATCTATATATGTGTGTTTTTTCTATGAAGAATTAATGTGTGATAATGTGTGTAATAATCTGCACAAGAAAGAAAGAAGAAGAGAAGAAAGGAGACTTTGGTTAATTTTATGAGAGGCTGGCAACTTGGGGAGTGGGGATATTTAAAGGAAAGGATTAGTCAGAAACGTTTTCATTTACACAAAATTTCTTTTTAAATAAACAAATGTTTTCATATTAACTTCTTAACTACCTCTCTTTTGCTTAAAAGTAATTAAATTAAAGAGCCGCCTATTAAAAAAAAAAGAAAAGAAAATTGGCAGGAAGAACAAAGGGCAAATTCCGGTCACGCCCTTAGCTAATGTCAAATTACGAAAAAGATCCTTCACATTTGAATAATTAAAAACATCTTTTTAACTATGAATTTTCTTACACGTCCACCATTGCGGCCTTAAATTTTGCGGAATTTTCTAGATTATGTGGAATATTCTCCAATTTAATAATATTGGAGCTCGACATTTTGAAACAGATGATCATAAGATGTGTGTATTGACTTGTAAATATCATCAGATCATGAACTGTATTTTTACATAAAACGAGTGCAAACTAAAGAACGTTCCATGAAAGATTCTGTTGAGTTTGATACCATAACTGTGGACGTTTAAAAATATTTAAAGTTGAGAGGTGGTTGTAATAATCTAAATATAATGGGCATTTTTTTGTAATTTAACATTAGCCGTAATTTACCGAAAACAATATATTAGCAAAGACTATTTTTTTTTAAAAGTGACTTTAGTTTCTTACTTGGCGTCCTGTCAATCCTATTATAAAATGACCTCCTCCGCTTAATTTTTTATCTGAAATGTTAAATGTCGTTTTAATTTGAGTAATGTCGTTTTGACTTCGAACCTGATTTTGAAATATTTCTATTTTGATTTTGGCAAAATTCGAAACACGAAAATTGTAGTCCTTTGGGTTAACTTTCTAATCCAACTTAAATCCCCTATATTTGATGTTATGTGGCAAAGTTATGCATGAATGAGTCACATTTTAAATTTTAGATACCTCAATACATCAAAATTGTGGGCAGTATTCATTGATTTATGTATATCTTTCTCGTCCGACATCCAATTTTGGTGATTCAAGTTGGATTAGAAAACTAACTCAAAATACTACAAATTCTATTTTTCGAGTTTTGCAAAATTTGGAATTAAAAGTAATCAAAATCACGTTTGAAGTCGTAACAGTATTATTAAAGCTCGAACAACATTTATCACATCCCATATTTTATTGGTTAATCTTGCTCTACCTTCTTTTACTAGTTAATTATTACTACTTTTAATTTTAAAATCTGCAGATTTGTGTTCTTTTATATATATATATAATTAATTGGATTATTTGATGCTGAATATAAAGATATCCTCGTGGCATTTCCCGAGCCTTTTATATAGATTCAATAAATTAACAATGCAATTTCTTCTTTGTACAAAAGAGAACTTTATTTGATATTTAATTGAAATACATTTTCAATTTCTTCTATACAGCACTTTTTTCTAAATTGATTTTCGGATGGAATATTTAATTGGACTGCTCTCTATGATATATTAAATTATTCTCATTTCAATTCACTAAATATAATCAAAAGTCAAGTGACTCATTTAATTAATTTATCTCCTTAATAATATATATATTCGTTCATTGACCTTAGATGTATTTATCATTCGGGGGACTGATTAAATGTTTCTACATTTATTTTTATTTTAATTTTTCCAAACTTTATAATAATAAAATCTATAGGAAGACATATTCATAAAAATATTGTCGGCCTTTTCCTATAATTTTAAAAAATAAAAAAATATTCAACCGACAACCTTCGTGACAAAATATACAGGAAGATTAGTAAAAACTACACTAGCAAAATTTGAAGAAACTAAATTATTAGTTTAAGGTTACCGTCATCTTCAATACGATAATTTATATTAATCTGATTAATCATAAATTAAAAGTTAATTAATACGACTTTCTATGACTAATCATCATTAGTGTTTGTTAAATTATATGTGTAGAGTGCAGTTAGAAGTAACCTCACACCTTAACAGGCATTGGTTAGGTTAATCAAGATTAGTTAAATTTAACATAAACAATATTTAACGTGTTGTTTGTTAATCTTTTCGTTCGCGCCATTTTCTTAATTACATTTTCCCTCCATGGGCTTAGGCCTGCTCCCCTGACATTCACAAATAATTAATTAAAAAACTATAAATTAATTAATATAAGTTCCATTAAAAATACAGATTTTTGTTTTTTTAAATAGGCATTAGCAAAATAATTGTTTGAGCAATCTATTATTTGTATTGGCCGTACAATGTGATAAAATTATTATTAAAAGCTGCAAATGTGAAATAAAATACGCAATTGCGTATTTTATATCTGAAATATGTATTAACGAAATAATATCTCCAAAAAAGTTGGTAGAGAAGCTAATAGTTTTTTCAACTCAATTACGACAGTTTTAATTAGTCAATGTAATTTCAAGAAGAAACAATGGATCCAAATTCCACGTGTCATTAATCTTTATTCAACTGTCAATAGTTTTTGAATTTTATTTATTTATTTGGTTAAAATGGTATTTGTTATGCCCCGGCCAATCAGCTGCAAATACACCACAACTTGAGAAAGTCACGCGCAAAGAATGAATATTTTTACATGTGGTTGATTTTAAATATATTAAAAATATTGAATTAATTTTATTTATCTTCGCTTAGGTCAAGTACCCAACCTCATAAAAGATGTTGACTCTCTTATTTAAAAATAATAGTTGTGTTTTTTTTTTTTTCCTTATAATTACATCGTAAGACTTTACGACTACATTGCGTCATTAGTTAAGTTAGGGTAAAAAAGTTTAGTACCAAATCGAAGAATTAAGACAGTAAAGATTCGGCACTAATCACGTTTTAATATTCTTACTTCTTACTGTATGTGATAATTATTGAGAGAAATACAGTTTTTCATCGCTAAAGTTTGTAACTATTTCACATTTGGTCCTCCAATTCGTAAAAAATACATTTGGTCTCTAATGTTTTAAAAATTCAACATTTTTAGTCATTTCTGTCAATATTCAGTTAAAACTAACGGAATCAAGCGTGTGTCCATCACTACCTTAACTAACGGACTAACAGTAAATTGACGGAAATGACAAAAATGTGAAATTATTTGAACATAAAGGACCAAATGTGCTTTTTGTGAATATAAAGGACCAAATATGAAATCCGTGCAAACTTTAGGGATTAAAACTGTAATTTTCTCGATAATTACATGTACATTTCAAGAAATTAAGAGCTTCATCGGCTTCTAGCTAAAATTCAGGATGCGGAATTTGTAGTGCTTAATTACCAGTCAAATTTTGTCTTATGTTAGCATTCAAAGTCGTGAACTTTTTGCAACGATGCACATACAAACAGCTGAAACAAATTCACGCATTCATCGTCACGACATCTCTCGACCAAATCCCGGAAATACGACTGAGATTCCTCCGGCGAAGCACGGAGTACGGCGAGATGGATTATGCGAATCTCATATTTAACCAAATGGGCGGCTTGCTTTGTACTGAAATCACCCTCTGGAATGCCATGGTAAGAGGCTATGCGTATAATGGACCTTGCGAGAATTGCTTATCTCTGTTTGATGAAATGACTGTGAGAGGTATTAAACCGAATAATTTCACCTACCCATATGTTATTAACGCGTGTTCTCAAATGGGTTCATTTCTTGTTGGCCAAAAGGTACATGGCCTTGTTGTAAAGTCAGGATTTGGGTGGGCTTTTTCCGTTGGGAATTCGCTTTTTGATTTTTATGTGAAAAAAGCCGAGTCTTTGGACATGGGATTGGTGAAAATTGGAAGTTTTGATGATGCTCGGAAGATGTTTGATGAAGTTTCTGAGAAAACGGTTGAGTTGTGGAATAAAATGATAGGGAAGTATGCAATTACAGGTGATGTGACTAATGCGAAAGAGCTGTTCGATGAAATGCCTAAGAGAGATGTTGTTTCTTGGAATACCATGATATCTACCTATGCTAAAGCAGGCGATGTTGAAAACGCCAGCGATCTATTTCAGCGGGCCCCACAAAAGAATGTGGTGACATGGACCACGATGCTCGGGGCATATGCAGCTGTAGAAGACGTCGAAACCGCACATAAACTGTTTGAGAAAATGCCCGCCAGAAATGTAGTTTCTTGGAACTGTATGATGTCCATTTACACCCGAGCAGGGGAATATCAGCAGGCACTAGATCTCTTCTCTCGTATGCAATCAGAAGACGTGCAGCCAGATTCTTTCACCTTCGTTGCAGCTCTAACAGCTTGTTCTAACCTGAGCAATCTCGAATCTGGAAAACGGGTGCACTCTCTAATAAAAGATTGGCCTAAGATGGGCGTTATACTAGGCACAGTTCTTGTAGAAATGTACGCAAACTGCGGAGACATCAATAAAGCTTTGACAACATTCACGAAAATCGGGCACAAAGATGTATTCTCTTACAATGTCATGATCAAGTCTCTAGCAATTCATGGAAGAGCCGGAGAAGCAATAAATATTTTCCATTTGATGCAGAAACGAGGACTAAAGGCGAACGACCATACTTACTCGTGTGCCCTTTTTGCTTGTAGTCATGGAGGTTTAGTAGAAAAAGGCCGTGAAATTTTCAAAGCTATTGAGAAAGATTTAGCCGTTGGTCCAAAACCCGATCATTATTGCTCTATGATTGATCTGCTGTGCCGAAATGATCGGTTAGAAGAAGCGGAATTGTTGATTGAAGATATGAGTTCACAACCCGATATTGCTATTTGGGGAGCGTTATTAGGTGGGTGTAGGGAGAGAGGCAATCTTGAATTGGCAGAGAGTATAATTCGTAAGGCTGTTGAATTGGAATCGAGAGAGGGTGGAATGCATGTGCTTTTATCGAACATTCATGCCTCGATTGGTCAATGGTCAAATGCCGTTCGGGCAAGAGAAGTGATGGAGGATAAAGGGATATGGAAGATTAGAGGGAGCAGTAGCGTTATTCGATAATTTCGAATTTGACTAGAAAAGAAAATTTACTTCTTTGTAGAAACCATTACACTAACTGTAACATTTACAGGTTATTTATTGTGTCTAAAATAGCCTCGATTGTTAATTTGATTCCTAATTTGCTCTCAACAAAATTTATTTACACGACACCGAGATTAGAAATGAAGCTAACGAGAAACAAGATGGTCAAAAAACTAGGGTTAAGCAACGTCGTTATTCACTTTCCGATCTTCTGTCTGAGTTCTACTGGCGAATTTATTCGTCGATGGTGTTGAACTGAAACCTGGATAGCTGCTCAGGGATCGAAGCTATAACGTGTCCAAATTTCTGGCAGAAATAATTTAAAAAAAAAAAAGTTATAAAAATTATTACGGTGGAACTTTAGTAACTGTTTATTAAATTTTCTAGTACCTGAGCATTGTCGTATAGTTGATAAAATGGAACGGAAACAAGCTGAAGGTTCTTGGGCACAACAAAATACTCTCGTTCGGGTAGCTGAACAACAAATTGTTTCCTGCATTCCTGCATGCCGAATGAAAGAAAAAAAAAGGTGAATCGACTGCGTGAAAAAAGGAATCGTTCATTACAAGACAAGGTACCGTGCGTAACTTTGATCTTACCCTGGGCTTTGTTCTGTGCGGGGGGCAATACGGGTACACAGCAGAGGTTTCAAAGTTGGTTCTCCACCAAACACCAACACACTCACCAATCTGCATTAATACATGATGACATCACACAATAAGCAACTCAAAAGCAAAACCGATAACCAATTATCGTTAAACATTACCTGCCAATCTGGCTGAGGAGAAGGTGGATCGGGACCGAGTTTGCTAGATAGTTTTCTTTTCAAGCCGTTGATTTCTGCAAAGTTGTATAGATTCATTCGATCAAGCAAAACCGAGACGAGTGTGACAGTAAAAAAGAATTAGAAATATGTAGAGTGTAGAATTACCACTCTCCCCTGCCTCTAACTTGCCACCTGGAAGTTTATAGAATGCAGTTCCAACTTTCAAAAGAAGAATATAGGGATGATTGTGCTCATGTACCTGTAATTTCAAATATTGTTTTTTTTTTTTTTTTTTTGCTTTAATTATAAAAAAATAAAAATAATAGTCCGCATAAACGCATACCAATAAAATTCCCTCCACAATTCTCCGAATACCTTCCGTTTTGTAACTGCAAATCAACAACACAAATAATACCCATTAAAAAAACAAAAAATCAAACCCTAAACGCAGTAAGTAATTTTGATCCAGGGTTTTTACATTTACAATAATATTTATACACAAAAAAAAAAAATCAAATTGGAAAAATGCAGGATAGAATTGGAGAAAGGAAGAGATTAACGCACATGGAATCCAGGCGGGTGATGGGATTGATGATAGATTTATGTTTCTCCATTTTGGTGTCAAAAGAGTAGCTTGAAAGAGGATAAGTTCGTACCACCGGCGATGGCGCCATTTTCATTTAAATTTTAAATTCAATTCACTCTTATTTCTTCTTTTTTTCGTTTTTCCGGCGGTGGATTTTCTGTTTTGGGTGCAGAATTCGGATTTCAGAGGGAAACAACAACTTTGAGGGATGGCGGTACTGTTGCTTTAGTACAGTTATGTATCCGTTGGAATAAGGTTGCCACGTCAGCGTTCAGTTTCAAATTAGAAGCATCGTGTTTTAATAGTCATTTAAGAAAGTCGTGCTTACGATTTATCAAATGGGCTATTGGTTTATGAACTGGGTCGCCCCTGCCCATCTAGCTAAACTATTGGGCCCCGTCAACCCATATAAGTATTTATTATTGGATTGTACTGGTGGGGCCCATGACAATTTTGTTTCATAATGGTTTAAAATAGTAGAATAAACCATAAATTGAATAATAAATTAGTATTTAATTATTTAAGTAGTTTAAATAAAATAATTAAATAATTAAAGGGCAAAAAAAATTGTTTTTTGCAGTACACATTGAATAACTTCGACACACTCTTTTTTTAAAATATTGTCAAGAAAACTGGAGATTTATTACAAAAAATGCTAGAAGACGATGAAAATTCGTGTTGAAATATATATTCGATAAGTTTCGATGCATTTATCAAATTCTTAAAAAATTACCCAAATATCACAAGAAATAGCTGTTGCAGATGCATTATACTAACTGTAACATTTACATGGACTATTATATCTAAAATAGCCTCAATAGTTGCTATTAGAATGCCAATTCCCCTACTAATTGCTATTAACAAACTTTACGCAGCACGAGTTTCGAAAACGGAGACGAACATGTTAGTAATAAACTAACAAATGTTAAAAAAAAAAATGCAGCTATGTAAGATCATATGTCACTTTCCGATCTTCTGTCTGAATTTTACGGGAGAATATTCTGCGGGTTGTTATAGTTGAACTTAAACCGCGAAAGCTGCAGAGGGATGGCAGATGCAATAGTTCCATATTTCTGGCAGAGATTAAAAAAAAAAATTAATAATAATTATTATGATGTGCTAGTTAGTTTATATAGTTACAGTAGTTATAACATAAGTATTTAAATTTTGTGGTACCACCTGACGATTGCTGTGTAGTTCAAACAACGGAACAGCAAGTAAATTCACGTTCTTTGGCACAGCAAAATTCCCTCGTTCGGGCATGTGAACAACGAATAGTTTCTTGCATTCCTTCACGGCCGAAATATCCAATGTTTTAACAAATACAAATTTAAATAAAATATAAAACAGAGTTGCTATATATTCAGAAATATGAACCTACCTTAGGCTTTGTTATGTGTGTGGGGCAATAAGGGTACATCACATCTTCGAAACTCGGTTGCCACCACATACCTACACACTCACCGATCTGCAAAAAAATAAGCATATATTTTCCGAAGCAAAAAATCAAAATCGAGAAGTTAAAAATTTACGCATGAATCAAATTCTCGTAAACAATTCCTTAAGCATTATTATTACCTGCCAATCTGGATGAAGAGAAGGTGAAGTGGCAGCAAGTTTGCTAGATAGTTTTCTTCTCAAGCCCTCGATTTCTGCAAAATTGTATAGATTCATCCAACCAAGCAAACTAAAACCGATCGAGACGAGCGAATCGGAGAATTTATTTTTAAAAAATGAATTTAGAATTATAAATTTGTACCGGGCTCTCCTGGCTTTAATTTGCCACCTGGAAGTTTATAGAATGTGTCTTCGATTTCGAAAAGAAGAACGTGTGGAAAGTTGTGCTCTTGTATCTATAAGTCAAATATTTGTTTCGTGTTAATTTGACACGAAAGAAAACAATGATGGCAGAGTACTATTGAATGCCAATCTTGATATTATGTATTAAATCAAATCTCGAAAAACCGATATACTTAATCACATTGTTATAAAACATACTACAGATTGCGTACACGTACATTTGAAACGACGATTTATATATAGATACGAGAGGAGAAAAACAGAATCGCATACCAATAAAATTCCCTCCACACTAATCCGCATACCTTCCTGCATGTAGCTGCAATTCAACAACACAAATTTATATATACTGATTAAATAAATAAATAAAAATGTTAACGACCGAACTGCATAACAAAAAACCATAGAAGCAATAATTAATTTTGATTCAGGTACAATAATTTAAGAATCAGTATTAAAAAAGAATGCAGGAATATTATATTCAACAAGAAATGTGTATTGGAATAAGAAAAGAAAAAAAAAAGAAGAAGAAGAAGAAGCACGCACTTGAGTTTCATGCGGGCAAGGCGATCTTCGACGGAACTATCTTTCCCTATTTTCGTCTCTTTCTCTTTAAAACTGTAGCTTGAAAGAGGGTAAGTTTGTATCACCGGCGGCGGCACCATTTTCGTTTAAATTCACTGTTGTGTTTTTTAATTTTTGATTTTCCCGGCGGTAGATTGGACCGATGAATTTTCTCTGTAGGCTGCAGAATTCAGATGTGGCCGAGCGGGAAGGAATCGATAACAGGAGGGAGGGCTTTGCCGTTGTTTTTGTACAGTGATTTGGATGGCGCGGCACAGCGATTTAAGTTCAAATTGGACGAACCGGATGAATAGTCACCGAAGAGAGTCGCCACCCAGTCAACGCGTATAACTAACTATGCTTGGACGGAATGCCGGGCCCACAGGCGTATCTTTTAAATAATTATTTATAATGGTTTAAAATAGTAGTTCAATAATCAAGAATTGATTAAACAAAAAATCAGTATTTATTTATTTTATTTATATCTGATTAGTATAAGTAAAATATTTAAAATAATCAGCTACAATTTTTCTTTAAATAAATAATTTCTTTAATCAAAAACCCAATTACAAGAAAAACTGGATTAAAAAAAACAACTTTCTAATTCATAATTTCGTATTTGTCATCGTATACTCATATTCCTCTAATTTCTTACTTTCTTTGGCCCTCAAACGCTTGCAACACCCCATCAGAGCCACCCGCCACCAGCATGCACCGCCCATCTCCGGTCTGCCGCCAGCACACGCCGCTAACAAAACCCGGCTCACACTGCACCCGGCCCATGGACTCCAACCCGCGCACCCAAATGGGCTGGGCCCACCTCTTATCATACACAAAAACCTGATTATTTTCCGACCCACAGCTTAACAACCCACCATCACTCCATACGGACAACCCAACAAATCTTCTACTGTTCACGTGCCCTCTGTACGTCCTGACCACGCGCCGCTCCTCCGTGTGCCACATCATCAAGCACCCATCAACCGACGAAGATACAATCGTCTGCGAATCGAGGAATCTCGTGTACGTCACAGCCTTCTGGTGCCCGTCCAGCACGAAAACCGGGTCGGACATCCCCCGCAAATCGTAGCCGTAGATTCGCCGGTCGGAGCATCCGACGGCCACCACGGGTCCGCCGAACGGGTTGAACTCAACCGAGCAAACCGGGCTCCGGATAGCCCGGTTCGGTTGGACCGAAGCAAGGCACTTCCCACCCTCGCAGCGCGGGTCCCACATTTGCATGGTGCCGTCGTCCGACCCGGATGCGCCTATAATCGGATCCCAATGCGAGTAGTCCACGCTCCACACCCGTCTGCCGCCGTGCTCGTCGCGCTCGAAAACGGGCACCCGTTTCTCGAGGTCGTACTCCATTACGACCCCGTCGTAGTCTCCGGATCCGATGACCCGGGAACCCGACCCGGGCCGCCACTTAAGGCTGCTGAGCTTCGCCGGAGTGCACATGTAGAATTCGCATGCAGCCGTGTGGTCGAGAAACCTAACCCCGGATCTTTCGCCATCGATCTCTTCCGATTTAAGCGACTTCTCTGTACTGTAAATTCTGATTTTTCTAGCAATCCCGCCGGTGGCTAAAAACCCACCACTCTGATCAAACTCAACCACCCCGATGGCGTCGGAAACGGTGGCGCCGGCGTCTCCGGCGGCGGAGGAAATTACAGTGGAGAGATTGAAATCCCACTCAAATCTGGCTCTCTCTTCTTCTTTTCTTGTATGATCTGGGATTTGCGAGGTTTGATTCATTTCCCATTCATATGACCGACGAGATTGATGGATGGGACTTTTCTCAAATTCGAAAGCTTGGAATTAAGTGAATAAATAACTCAAGCAGGTTTCCGACCAATAAGAAAGCAGCTTCCTACACAACTTAGGTATCTAGTCATGTCTGAATTAAAATAGACTTTATATATTATTTTTTTCGTAATCTTACATTTTTCTTTTTAATTTACAGAAATAATACTGAAAAAAACTTTGAGAGGGTGCATTAATTTAATTTAATTGTGTATATATATATAAAAAAAAAAGAGAGATGAATTGGTGGATGTGAATTGAGTAAAGAAAATGTATGTGGACGTGGAGTATTGGCAGCTACGTATGTAACGTGGTCTAAGCCAAACCTTTTGTCCCCTCAAATCATCCACTTTTGTAAACTATTACAATCCACGTCTATGCTGCAATAAATACACACATACTGTACGTTTTTTTTTTAATCATAAATACAAATAAAAAATAAACTTAAATGTAACACCTAAAATGTGAAATACATAGAAAAAAGTTGATATGTGATTTAAAACGAAGCACATCTTCTCACACCTACACAATTATTACCTCTACTTCATTATTTACTAGATTTTAGCAGTACATAATCCTATAATTTAATGGAAGTCAATTGAACTGGATGTGATGAACAGATTATTACATCATGGATTTGATTTGTTGGCTTATTAATTAATTAATTAATTAATAGCAGTAGTTACGTTTCTGTTATGAGACGTGTATGTGGCTTCTTGTGTGCCAACGAGTGTGTGCATTATTTATTATTAAACGGTAACGGTAGTTATTATTGAAAAACCCATATCCCAAAGAAGATAAATAGGGCCACCAATTTTCCCCTTTAATAAACCATAGAAACGTCTATTTTTAACTCTCTGTATAAAAATATAAATATATTTATTCTCTTCAATTTGGACCACCTATATATATAATAGGGTCTTTCTACGGTGAGATACCCTATGTTCTAAACTTATTTGAGATATGCATTAATCACCATTAATTTTCTAAGATTAAATCTGGACCCTAGGAAAATAACATGGTTTATGTTCTAAAAAATGAAGTACTTTACCAAATTATCCTTCGATTATTTTTTTTTATTAAATTAATATAAAATTGATTAACATTGAATTGTCTAATTTACCCCCTACTATATTTTAATTAAATAATTAATTTAAATTCATTGTGACCGAGTTTTATTTGATAAATAATCGAAAAAAATGCATTCATTAGGAATAGAACTCGTGACCTCTTAATATATTTATCACTCCTAACCATCAAAGCACATTAACTTATTATGATATATTTAACCATAATTGTATAAATACTGTTAATTCAAATATTAATTGCAACATTAATTGTTTTTAAATGGTATTAAATAAATTATTAATAAATTTAATAAAATAAAGTTTGAAAACTATAAAGAATTGCAGTTCAATAGGCCAAACATCTATCATTAATTATATAATATTAGAAGTATTAATAAACTCCACCATTTAAAAATGTAAAGAATGCTCAATTAAATATAAAAAAAATGCATAACTTAATTCAAACTCATTTATGTTATTTAATCGATAGTGTGACAAATCCAAATAAAAAATAAAATAATATATTTATTTAGAAGAAGAAAAAATTATAACTCATTCCAATTAGTAGTTTTCTTAGTTTAAAATAAAATTATATACTACAAATACTATATTGTGAATTTTCTTTTAATATTTAATTTAATCAATTAGTAAGATTTGAATCGATGAAGTACAAATCCTTTCAATTAGTAAACATTATTCAAATATTTGAATCGGTTGCTTAACTATTGACATAACATGTTACATAATTGATTTAACTATTTATAAGTAATGTCTAATATCTTTTTAATTCAATTTTGTCATAAAAAAATAATAAATTTAATTCCTAACACACGTAAGAACCTAATCGTAAATCATAATATTTTATCAAAGCGTAATATTTGAACCAATTAAGCTCAAGTCCTTTCAATTCGTAAACATTATTCAAATATTTGAATCGATTCATTAGCGCGCTCAACTATTGACAAGAACGTCTTAATCAAATTAACTATTATTAATTAAAGTGTGATACATGTTTATTTCAATTTTATCATAAAAATATAATTCCCACATTACGCAAGAATCAAATCATAAGATTAATTAAAGCGTATGATTTGAATCAATTAAGCGCAAATCCTTTTAATTTGTAAATATTATTCAAAAATTTGAATCGATTAAGTTCAACCACTAACAAGAACGTATTAATCGAGTTAACTATTTATAATTAAAGTCTAATATCCTTTTAATTCAATTTTAACAACAAAATAATAATTTAATTCGTAAAATCGTAAGAATTAGATCGTAAATCGTAAGATTTAATCTAACCATGAACCGATTAAATCTTACGATTTTTATGAATTAAATTTTATTATTTTTTATGATAAAATTCAATAAAAAAAGGTTACTAAACTTTAACTATACACAGATTGATTAATACGCTATTGTAAATTATTGAGTTTAACCGATTCAAATATTTGAATATTGTCTACGAATTGAAATGAGTTGAGCTTACTCGATCAAATCTTTGAATGTTGTTTTAGAATTGAAAACACATGAGTTTAATTGATTCAAATATTACGATTTAATTAAATCTTACAATTTACGATTCAATTCAAACTTCAAATTCTTTCGAAATTCATTTTTAAATTACACGAGTTGAACAACATTTCCTTAGATTTTTAAATTATATTATATAAAGATTTGTTAGTATGGGATATTTTTAATATATAATAATAATAATTATATGAGAATTAATAATTTATTTAACATTATTTATATAAGTTTTATAACCATTATAAATTGTAGCTTTGTGATATATATCCGTATTGTTAGTTTATTGTCAATTATGTGTTGTGTCTTAATGGTAAGTATTCTTGTATGTTTTCAGATGGTCACAAGTTCGAATTCAAGATGATGCAATTTTGGATGGGTGGTTTAATGATTTTTACGAATAATGATATAATTTACGTTATAAATTTTAATTCAGCAATAAATATATATTTAAAATTGCATTAAAATAGAGAGGGTAAAATTGACATTTCATTAATAATTTATAATTGCTGATTTTTTAAAATAATAATTGTAAAAAGGGTATTTGCGACAATACATAAATGGAGAAAAAATAGGTTTTATTCAGCAATAAATATATATTTAAAATTGCATTAAAATAGAGAGGGTAAAATTGACATTTCATTAATAATTTATAATTGCTGATTTTTTAAAATAATAATTGTAAAAAGGGTATTTGCGACAATACATAAATGGAGAAAAAATAGGTTTTTTTGGTGGGACACGTGTCGCAATTTAAAGGGGTATCTCATAAAAGTTTAGAACACATCTCACCCTAGAAAGACCCTATATAATAATATATATTTGGTAATTTAATCTCTGAAGCAATTTATTGATTTATAAATTAACCGGGTATGGGCCAAAGAAATATTTGGGCTGTCAATTTATGCAAGGTTCATAATCGGATGGGCTTATTATCCAATGGGTGATAGGCAGATTAATTAATTAATATTAATTTTTTTATTTTATTTAGGGAAACAAAATGGCGCGAAGACAGAGGAAACTGAACCGCCGAAAAATTGTAGCACCAAGCCGCGAACCGGGTTCGCCGCTTGTTTCTGCCACCACTATACTTCTTTTGATTTCCTCTCCGCCCAACCGGAAAATCCTCCACACTTTAAAAAGAGTACAGATACTGGGAAACAAAAAAGCGTCGAGCTAAAAGGAAACCGAACCGGCGGCGCCGCCTGTTCCGCCACCACCAGTACACCGACATGGGGAAGCAGAAACAACAAGTCATTTCACGCTTCTTCGCACCCAAACCCTCCACCCCCACACCCTCTCAACCACAAAACCCACCACCCACCACTCCGCCCAAAATCACCACCACCGTCTCTTTCTCCCCGGCCAAACGCCGACGAATTACCCAGCTCAATTCCCCCCATAGCAAACTCCCAAAACTCACCCACCCACCACCCACCGATGAACCCAATATACCCCTACCAAATCCCACCCTCCACCAAAAATTCCTAAACAAACTTCTAGAACCCTCTCAAGACCTTCTAGAACCATCCAGAATCAGCAATTCCACACAAGCCCCAAACCCTAAGTACACACCCTTAGAGCAGCAAGTAGTCGAACTCAAAGCCAGGTACCCTGACGTGCTTCTAATGATCGAGGTCGGTTATAAATACCGATTCTTCGGCGAGGATGCCGAAAATGCAGCTAGAGTGTTGGGTATATACGCACACATGGATCATAATTTCTTGACCGCAAGTGTGCCGACTGTTCGATTGCATTTTCATGTGAGGAGGCTTGTTAGTGCAGGGTATAAAATTGGTGTTGTCAAACAAACCGAGACCGCAGCAATTAAGGCCCATGGGGCGAATAAGGTGGGCCCCTTTTGTCGGGGTTTATCGGCATTGTACACTAAGGCCACTTTGGAGGCTGCGGAGGATTTGGGGGGCGGGACTGAAGAGTGTTCGTCGTGTAATAATTATTTGTTCTGTGTTGTGGAGAATGGGGCCGGAGATATGGACAGTGGAGCGGATGTTAGGATTGGAGCTGTGGCGGTCGAGATTTCGACGGGCGATGTTGTTTATGGGGAGTTTGATGATAATTTTACGAGGGCTAGATTGGAGGCTATGGTTTTGAACTTGTCTCCCGCTGAATTACTTCTTGGAAGAGCCTTGTCTAAGCAGACCGAGAAGGTGGTTTCAGTTCTCTCGATTCTTGATTTGTTATTCGCTGAACAGATAAATTGTGTTCTTGACTTCTTGTTGCTGTCGTTGTGATTGTTGTTTTTCAAGAATGTTGTGTCTGAATTGGTTATTCACGACTGTGTCTGAATTGAGTTTTTAGCATCTATAGGCAAGAATTCTTTGAAATGCTTCCGGAATTTTGTCGCATTGTTCTGTAATATCTGTTTGACTTCGGTTTCCGAGACTGCTATATATCTCTTACCATATTCTGCTATTATTTATCCAATAAGATCTTCTTAGGCTCTTGTATATGTTGCACCTCATTTGGTATGTTTTGACGTGTTATTTGGTTTACCTTACTTTTTGATGTTATTCGATTTTCTTATTATCATTCCTATCACCTTGTTTAGTTGCTCTTGGCATATGCTGGACCTGCCTCAAATGTTCGGGTCGAACACGCTTCACAAGATTTCTCACGTAGTGGTGGTGCTCTAAATGAAGTATTGTCACTCTACGAGAGCTTAACTGAAAGTAAATCTGCCAAAACTCGAGGCAATTACTTGGCATTTGAGGTGTGACTACAACTAAAATAATGTCTTTGTTTTTATGTCTTTCCACTCATCTAGCTTCTTATGTCACATCGAGACGAGTAATATAATATTTTTTTTCTTTTTATTTTTATTTTTCATTTTTAAAGGGGATTAAGGCTATGCCTGACTTAGCTATTCAAGCACTAGCTTTAACCACTCGTCATCTGAAGCAATTTGGATTTGAAAGAATTCTGTGCTTGGAAGCTTCGTTCCGTCTTTTCTCTAACATCGCAGAGATGACCCTTTCAGCCAATGCACTTCAACAACTAGAGGTAAGTGACTTAGTGACTATTGAGCATATAATTATGCAACTCCTATTTCAAGCACATGTTTGTCATTTGTAATTCCGATCTCGAAATGTAGGTGCTGAAGAATAATTCCGATGGGACTGCGTGTGGCTCTCTGTTGCAATGTATGAATCAAACTCTGACCACGTTTGGTTCAAGGCTTTTGAGACACTGGGTACGGCAGTCTATAAGGTTTTGTTCCTAGTAATGTTTCTTGATGTTGTAATAAATGATCTTTGCTGTATTATTCTATAGGTGACTCATCCTTTATGCGATAGAAACATGATACATGCGCGTTTAGATGCTGTTTCCGAGATGGTAGAATCTATGGGTTCTACTAAAGCTTCTGATATTGATATTGAAGAAGGAAATTCTGACATCACAATTGTGCAACCTGAGATTCATAATGTAATATCGTCGGTTTTGTTCACGTTGGGAAGGGTACCTGATGTACAGCGTGGAATTACAAGGATCTTTCATCGAACTGCTACAGCATCCGAGGTAAATATATGTTAGAAAATTGTAGCTGATTTATGTTAGATATTAGGTACTTACGAAAAAATATGCAATATCCGACATCATAGTTTGTTGAATTAAAGTCCTGTTGCACATTTACGTCGCACAATTCTGAATTGCCATTTTAGTTTTTCCGTCAACATAAAAGCTGTGAAGAAATATTCTTGCAGTCATCCAACTTTTTCTACTTATGAATAAATGTACAGTTCATTGCAGTTATTCAAGCTATTTTAGTTGCTGGAAGACAACTGTGTAAACTCGATGTTGAATTAGAGGACGACAAAAAAAACCCACAAGGGAGAACTGTGCGATCTGTTCTATTAAGAAAGTCGATATCGACAGCATCATCTTCCAGTGTTATAAAGAGTGCAGCATCACTTTTATCGAAACTTAACAAAGAAGCTGCTGATAAACAGGATCTTCAGAATCTTTTCATTGTTTCCGATGGAAGTTTCCCAGAGGTAAACTCAAGAGTTCTATCTGTTTCACCTAATTTAGAATATTATCGTATGTTCATAATTCAAATTGTGGATGTTTGGTGCATATGAAGGTTGCTTCAGCGAGGAACAAAGTCCGCCTGGCAAATAAGAAGTTAGATCAGTTACTTCCTTTATATCGTAAAAAACTCCGGATTAGAAATCTAGAGTATATGAGTGTATCTGGCGTCACACATTTGATAGAGGTAAATTAAATTCTTTCTTTGACTAAGTCTTGGTGTGTATGTTATACTTGGTCGTATTGACACAAGCTTTACGTGCGTGCAGCTTCCTGTTGACTCAAATGTACCTTCAGACTGGGTTAAAGTAAACAGCACAAAGAAAACAATTAGGTATCATCCGCCCGAAGTATTGAGTGCTTTAGATGAGTTAACTCTGGCAAACGAGGAGCTCACTGTTGTTTGTCGGGCCACTTGGGATGGGTTTTTAAGGACGTTCGGCGGATTCTATTCCGAGTTTCAGTCCACTGTTCAAGCATTAGCCACTTTGGATTGCATATATTCACTTGCCATGCTTTCTAGGAACAAGGTTGAATGATTGTGTTTTGGACCACTATCTTGTAATGTCTTATGCTAATAATAGCCTTGTCTTTATTATTGCAGGATTATGTTCGCCCCGTTTTTGTCAGTGACGATGAGCCTGTTCAGATAAATATCAGCCGCGGACGACATCCAGTATGTACTCTACATCTTAACTGCTTGTATTTATATCTGCAGTTGAGAAAAAATAGTACGACAGTGGGTTATCGAGAATATTTTGCAAACGTGATGTTGATTTTTTGGCAGGTTATGGAGAATATTTTGCAAGATAATTTTGTTCCGAACGATACAAACTTGCACGCAGACGCGCAGTACTGTCAGATTATTACCGGGCCAAACATGGGCGGTAAGAGTTGCTACATTCGCCAAGTGGCTCTTATAGCTTTAATGGCTCAGGTAAAAACAAATAGCCTCTGTGCATCAACTTATCGAAATATAATTAGCATTAATTATCTCCGTTATTTCTCTAGGTTGGTTGCTTTGTGCCAGCGTCATCAGCAAAACTGCACGTGCTCGATGGAATCTACACTCGTATGGGAGCTTCGGACAGTATTCAGATGGGCAAAAGCACATTCTTGGAGGAACTAAGCGAGGCGTCGCACATTATTCAACACTGCACAAACCGCTCGTTGGTAATAATCGATGAACTTGGGAGAGGCACAAGCACACACGACGGTGTGTCCATTGCTTATGCCACGTTGCATCATCTTCTTGAGAGTAGGAAATGCATGGTACTCTTTGTTACTCATTACCCTGAGATAGTTGACATCATAAACGAGTTCCCTGGCTCCGTGGGACCACACCATGTCTCGTATTTGACACCACAGAAAGAGAAGGCTACGGCAACGGATCACGATGATGTCACCTACCTTTACAAACTTGTGCCAGGTGTTTCTGAGAGAAGTTTCGGTTTTAAAGTTGCTCAACTTGCACAAGTAAGCTTTCACATTTTTCTCCTCGTAAACTTTTTTTTTTGGCGACATTATTTAGTATTTTATTTGTGGCTGCAGTTACCGTCATCGTGCATTAGACGGGCTGTTGAAATGGCAGCAAGATTAGAAGCAGAAGTATGCAAAAGAGATAAAAACAAGGTGTTGACAAACTGTTCAATGCACAATAGTGAATCAAAAGACGCTGACTTGGAAGAAATTGAGAAAGCCTACAGAGATTTATTCTTTCACGTAAATCTTTCGTTAAACGAAGAAGAAGACGATGCAAGAAGGCTCGACTATTTGAAGCATTCTAAATGCCTTGCACAAAAGCTGGTAAATAGGTAAATAGGCATGTATATTATATTTCGAAGTTTTGCACGTGGAATTTTTTTATGGATGCCGGCGAAATTCGAATACGTAATCTTTCATTTGGCCAGACTTTGGTACGATGTAAAAATACGTATGTATATATTTTTGAGCTTTTTTGGTCCTTTTTAAATTACTGTTATAGATAATTTATGTATGTGTACAATTGAACTTGTTCAAATATACTTAAAATAAACATATTCATAATCATATATACAACATTAAATTTTAAAAATCATAATATTTTTTTAGGGCAAAATACACTTTACCCCCTTGTACTATGCCCCACGTAACACTTACCCCCTCGTACTATGAAAAATATACTTACACCCTTATTTTAATGGTCAACCTATTTGACTCTTAACGGTGTTAGTAGTAAAATAAATTTAATATATTTTTAACAATCCTTACTAAATGACACATTTTTTTTTATTTAAAAAAATATTACATGTACTGTGAATAAATTAAATAAATATTTAAGACAATAATATTTTTAAATTTTGATTAAATAAGAAAAATATTATTACTTTTTAATAATTCATAAGAAATGACACCTTATTTTTATTAAAAAAAATATCTTTTCATTGTGGATAAATATATTAAAAAAATATTTAAAATGTATAAATTTTTAAATATATAATTAAAATATTTACTCATTAAATATTTGTATTAAAAATTGTAATTCTACAGTAATATTTTTTAACGATATATGCTAATGATTTATTTTATTTATTTGTAACATCAAAATTCACTTAAGCCTTTTATATCTAGGATTCATTATACGAAATTTAATGTTACAAATAAATATTAAAAATTCAATGTACACAATGTTTAATGAGTTAAATAATTTAATCCAGAATATGAAAAATTATAGTTGCTACATGGTTGTATAAAATAATATATGAAAAATTATATTATCTAAATATTAATTTTTAATATAAATTTATACAAACAATTTTTT